GGTGTACGTCCGCAACCAAGTATCTCGGTTTGCGACATCGCAGACTTCCTGTCATACTACAGAAAACTAATCAACGGCACATTTTTAAAACTGCCGTGATTTTTCTTCTCTGTGCGAAGATGATTCTGCAAAAACTTCAAGGAATAATGTCAATTTGAACTCCTTTGAAAAAATAATACAGATTTGGAGATTTTCAAACACCGCAAACGAGATACATGGTTGCAGTCTTACGCCGTCGATATTTTGGTAGGTATGGCTTCGAATAATTAATTATATATCGAGAGGACATTCCCAAGTAATTTCATTGTACGTAGTTAGTAAAGCCGACACCACTTTGAAGCTTGGCGGTTATCAGCATCCGACTGAAACGGCGTAAAAATAAAATCGATGGAGGCGCAGGCGGACATCAATTTGGCACTCGTATCTTTAACCGCCAGCCCCTCCTTATCTAACCCCCGGCTGTCATGTCAACTTACTTCCTACCACTTTTATCGTGGATGCAAAATGAATACCGGAATCCGAAACCAGAACCGTGTCACAGACTGAATAATGTTAACCGAGAAGCAACGCATAGGTACTCCTTGCGAAACGGTGCTCCCATTCCATGTCCGTCAAAAGTTCCGGGATTCGGAACTTTTTTGTTCCAATTTCTCCCACTCCGTTACCGTCTAGAGTTCCGGAATTCCTTTTAAAGTTTATCAATAGTTCCGGAATTATTTTTAAAGTTTATCAAAAGTTCCGAGAAAGTTCCGGAAAATGCAAAAGATCCGGAACATTTCGGAAATTTCGGAAATTTCAAAAGTTCCGGGGAGAAATTCAGGAAAATCTCAAAAGTTCCGGGAAACGGAAGCACGGTCTTGAAAAAATGTTCAAGCTCTTTTTTTTTTTTTTTTTGCTTATCTGCGCTGAATGTGAGTGTAGAGGCGCATTTCCGCCTTAAAATAGGCCTCATTTGGCCGGTGGACCCAATTTGTAGACATTCTTTTTTTTATTTTTGAGAAGTCGTAAACAATACACTTTTGACATTGTGACAGAAGAAAATTTTGAGATGAACGAGCATGGGAAAAAATTAAAACTTTACACATTTTCCAAGCGACTGATTTGACCAACTCTTCTTAATTTTAAGACATCAATTTTGAATTTATCGGCGCATTTAGAGCGTGGGGCCAAGTGAGGTTTAGAACTCAGACCTGAAGCAACTATTTTAACTCCCCGGAGATCAAATTGCATACTCCTTGAAATGAAGGAACCTAAGTTGAGTCTGGTCCTATGAGATTCAACAGCTTGATGAAAGGTTAGCCGTGAAGCCTTAATAATCCGTCTTGACTCAGAGCAACTATTTAAACTCTCACGAGAACATATTGCATACCCAGTGAAATGAAGGAGCTTTAGTTGAGTCGGATTATTTACGCACCGATTTACCGGGTTTTTAACTCGCACTTGGTACTCAAAATGTAAACACCAAACACAGTGTTATAAAATTTACCCACTACGTGTATATTTGAAAAATACACTTAGTGGGACAAAGAAAACAGACCAAGTGTAATTGTCCTCGAGATTTTCATTAAGTATACTTTGCACAGAGAGGAAAATTCAATGAAGTTCCTAGAAGAAACCGTCTATTAGTTTTCCACGTAAAGAATATAGAAAGAGCGGTTTGCAACGTCATTAACTTTATACCCGCATGTTTAAACAATCACGAGTTTACGAAGTGTGAGCTGAGAAATTCAATGGCGTGGCGTGGTTTGCGATGTATCGATTCTTATGCCATTTAAACCTATGGGTAAGGATCGATAAACAGGATGTTCGCAGCGAACACCTTAATAATTGATTCTTTACCACAGGTTTAAATGACATAACAATCGATATATCGCAATGCACGCCACGCCACTGGAGAAATTTTATTATTTTTACTGATGAAATTAATCGTTGATGCATAGCACTCTTTCAATTGCCTCCTGTATAGTTCTGGGTATTTTTCTAAGTGAATACCTTGATAAATAGCATAGAATAAATGCTCGAGTATTTACCTGCAATCTTGAATACTCGGGTGTTTTACAACACTCGATTTGAAGCATCAAGTCCGCGAAGCCCGATGTAGTTCCTTCACTTTGACTGTGAGCAACTTAATCAACTCCCCGGAGATTAAATTGCATACTCGGCGAAATGAAGGAAATCTGAATGGACCCGGCGTTTTGAGGTCTAGCAGTCGAGTGAAATGACGCGCGCCGTCGCCGGCGGTTATAATTTTTATTTAATTAAAAACTTCGAGACTTAAAGCTCCGAAGATCAAATTGTACATATATGAGGCTAACCTGACAATTTTTGCTCTACCTCTTATTGTACAGAAAGTCGCACGCATTCGCTTATTGGTTGAGGGATTTTTTAGCGAACCAAACGCAATGTCGCTAAGATTGTGCAACTTTTTTTTACTTACGAATATGAATTGATCACCTAAACAAGTTTTATCTTTACTCGCAAAAACTATAAATTCAATACAAAAATTACCTTTTTAAATTTAATATTTTGTAAGGTTTCAGTAATTTTATTGCAAGGTATGTAAGTCGTTCAATCCTAGCAACATTGGAATGCTTTTGGTTCCTTTTTGCAAAATGCAATCCCTATGTTGTTTCTAAAATGAGCCGGAAATAGTGGTTCCTTATTGCAAAATATAATCCATTTGTGACTTTTCCCGATAATTATGCGGTCGGTACGATATCTCCTAAAACCCTCGAGCCTGCAGATATTGAAGTGCCTAATTTGGAAAGTCTCATTACGAAAATCACCTCTACTTAAATTAGACAGGTGATTGATCTGTTAATCAATGCCCCCCTCCCTTTCTCAGGAGGCAGGAGGTCAGGTTGAAGCTCTCATTCATAGGGGTAGCGATCGGGTTCAGCACTCAAATTTAAAAAAGCTTCGGAACTGTCCATGGAGACGGACGATGGTATCGGAAGAATAATCGGGCCCGTTTAAACTTCACGTTCGTCACTGAGAGGAGCTATGTCGTGTGATTAATCAGTTTGGAGGGATAATCCTGAGGGAGAGGAACGGGGGGCTCAATTGGTCCGTCTTGGAGAGTGAAAGGAGAGGATCTTATACTTAATAGCTTTGAACTCAGTCCACAACAACGGTCACTATCATTATTGCCAAATCGCCCTAAAACACACCGGGAAAAAAAGTGCTGTAGTGACACCTCAGATGTTAAAAAAAAAATGCGACAACTCTTGGATGTTGTCATTAACACTCTGGTGTTAAAGTAATATCCTAGGATGTTGATTTTACATCCTAGAATGTTACTTCAGCATCAGAGTGTTATAGCGACGACATTCAAGCATTGGCAGATCCAGCAAATCAGAAACATTGTCTTTTCTCCATTTAAACCTATATGAAAATGTATCGATTTTTGGAGGAGCCAGGTACTCTTGTGAGAATCGATTATTTAGCATAGGTTTAAATGGAGGAAATCCGGCGTTGCCAAATTGCTGCATCTGCATCTGTACAGAAGCGTTGTCGAACTTTTTTTAACATCTTTTTTTCGGTGCAGGTGCGAGAACACAATGCCGCGGTGAGATGAGCAAATTGCTACATGCTTCCTCACTCCCCTCTTCCTCTTTGATTTCATAGGGACGTCCTCCATGAATTCAAAATTTAATTATGGTATTCTCCGATAATCCGCTTTTTTAGACTCATGCGTTTAGTCCCAAATCATAAGCCTGCTTGTCAAAATTTTGAAGAAAATCGAATAGTGATTACTATTGCTATTGCTAATGATTAATATGTATCTTTCCTTTATTTATTGATTTAATATATTTAAGTGCTGTTTTATGTCAGCACTTAAATATTAATAACTATATTACTTTATGTATATATTATTTTACCTCTCCTTCTCTATTGCTAATGATTAATATATATATTATTCTACCTCTCCTTCTCTATTGCTAATGATTAATATACTTATTGCAACGTTTTAAAAATCCCCGATCATGTCTCATTTTCATTTTTTTGAGGAAAACTAACCAAATTGTTTGATGGGTCGGTTGCGCTAGTCACAAAATCGTGTTTTGATGCTTGATTTTTGTAGAAAAGCTAAAAATATTAAGATCTGTCCAAACCGCAACTTTCAATAACAACAGAAATATGGCGTTTTGAAAAATCCGGTTTATGACGTCATCCGCCGCGGTACTCGGTAGTAACACCCTTAGTTTCTTCCTCCTTCCTTTCTTCCGAGTTTTACATTGAGTGACCAGTGCAAATGTGCGTCTCACTCTCACTGATGACAGCGGGATGAAAGAAACCAAGAGTGTCACTACCGCGGTGGATGACGTCATAAAACGAATTTTTCGAAGCGCTATGATATCTCGGTTGACACTGAACATAGAAAGTTGCGGATTGAACAGATCTTATTAATTTTAGCTGATCCACTCAAAGCAAGCTAGAGTACCTATATAGGGAGAACGGTCAAGTCGATATTTATGAAGTTAGGTAATGGAACTCTTAGGGTCCGAAAGTCTTAGTCTTGACCACTTTGGTTTGATATTTTGAATCTTGGCTGAAGGTCTGAAGATTGGCAGTGACATTTTTCGTTTTCAAAGGCTGGCTGTTCTTTCAGACCGTGAGAACTCCATATTTCGACATGTCCGTACTCTCCCTTTGAAAGTACTCTAATTTAAAGTAACCGAGAAAAAAGACCAGAGCGGGTGGTTTGAAACATCTTGTACGAGTTGAATTCATCGGAGAGAGCAAGTTACTCGTATTCAATTATTACCACGACGTTTTACAGCCCGGATACACGCTCAAATTTCCATCAATTTCCGATCAAATGGTGACTGGTGTGCACCATCTACCATCAAATTTTTGCAGTCTGCATAAATTTGACCGCCATTTTTGTCATAATTTTGATCGGAAATTGACGGAAAGTCAAGCGTGTATCCAGGCCTCTAAGATATTTTTTTAATCATTTTCAAATATTCGCATAACCGATTTTCGTTTTATTTCAGATGTTTCAATTAGTCCCGACGTTGCCGAACTTACCATCGCCTCCGGTGCCGACATTTCTATAAGATGTGAGAGCAACAATAACGTGACTTGGGAGTATCCCGAATACGAAGAAACAGATGTAAGTTTACTTATTTTACTCTTCAAAATCCCTTAATTAATTCATTCTGATCCTTTCATAATTTCAGCGTGCAGTGTTGGATTCAGAGGCAATCATTTTATCCAGCATGAAAAGAGCGGATCCTCTTATTAATACCCCTATCTTAATTGACGGACCAGTTGGGACATCCCCGTCAATTTAAAACTTCCCGCTCTTTTTCAAATCTGCCTGGGCGGGGCCGCGAACCCCGCGAACACGCGAGGCGCAGTTTTAGTTCTAAGCTGCGCCGCTCCTAGCGCAACGATCGTCTCACAGCTGTGTTTTCCATCCATCATCCATTTTGTGTGTTTTGTGTCCTAAAAGTTATAAGGTCACATTTCACACGGACGTTTTCTAGTCCTGATTCGATACTAGTGGATAATTCCGGTGTGTTATTAACGATAATGTTCCGTCAAGTCATTTTCCGCGCTGCCCGCAGTGCATATGTGGCCCGTAACTCCACTCCAACCTTGTGCAACCGTAGCCCGTTGAGCACGTCGGCAAGGTTATCTTCGAAGAAAGAAGAAACTGATGAGGAATTCGACTCACGGTACGTTGCTTTCTTTAACCACCCCGACATCGATGGATGGCAAATCCGCAGAGGTCTGACCGATCTCCACGCTCATGACTTGGTCCCCGACCCAGTGATCCTCATCGCAGTTCTGAAAGCCTGCCGCAGAGTCAATGACATCGCCCTGGCCATCCGGTGCTTGGAAGCCACCAGAGTGAAGTGCGGAAGGTTTGAGAAGACCATCTGGCCCTATGTAGTTCAGGAAATCACACCCACTTTGAAGGAGCTCGGCATCCCACTTCCAGCTGAATTAGGATACGACAAGCCTGAGTTGGCGTTGCGAGACGTTTTCGACATGTAAAAGTGTCCGCGATCAACCTGTGTAGCTCGTCGGAGGTGCAACCGATTCAGCTTTCCTAGCATTATGAATGATGAACTGGCTTAAATGAATGTTATTTAGTTTTAAAGTCCGCTCTTTTTTTAATTCTGTTTAATGTTAAGTTCTACATTAAATAAATCCTGTAAATAACCAATGGTGTTCGTGAAGTGCTTTCATCCAGCCCCTTGCTGATTCATTCTTGAAGATCTTTGGACCAATGAGTATGTTCTCCTCCATTCTTGTTCCTCATCCAACATCGGTATGTACACATCTAAAATTTTTGAGTCAACTCTCCGTATCGCAGTCTTCAAATCATGTTCAGAAGAACTATATTTACCTAGTTTTTACTTCTTTCCTTTGAGAATCTTGAATTTATTGGGGTCAAGAAAATCAATACATTATAAAGCTCAGATAAGAGCTTTTTTTCATCTGTAGAACACTATGGATCGGGTTATCTGTAGTTAGAAGTGGTTCAGCTTGAGGCTAGAGCAAAGGCATCATACAGGTGCGTTGTCAAAGTAAACTTTCAGGTTTCATTGTGTGCTCAACGCTAACGAGCATCATGTGACCGTTGACTTACGCGTCGAGAAACGCGCTGTTGGTAGTCTCTCTTGACTAGCTAGACACTCTGAAACCGCATGCTCAATTACACTGAGAGGTTAGCGCAACGCTCTCAACTACCTCCTGAGACTTATGACTTGCTGATTTCCGTTCGGTAAACAGTCCAGGACATCGGAGAATCCAAACGGAGTTGATCAATGTGGAGAGGCTGGAATCGGGTAATTCCATTGCCCAACGGCCCCAAAAAGTTTACTTCGACAACGTAGCTTATGTTGAGACATATGTCAATCTCTGATTACCTCAGAATCAGCAGCACTCAGTAGGTTAATACATGCAGTCAGATGACATCACTGATGAGTGGTGACCTAAACAATACTTGACTTCTGTCTCAACATACGATGCCTCCACCGAATTCCTACTTAACATTCCTGGCCACTCGAGAAATCGTGTGTAAATGTGTTAGTAATAACTGCGGAGAACAAAGGGAAGCTGCCGGGCTAGGTTTGGCAGGTTGCATCCGTTTTCACCCTTACCTACCCTTATTCCATATATCGATTTACACTAAATCATTTTTTCCCTCATTTAAAATGTGATTCTGCAGAAAAAATTTGTTTCTTTCGATAAAACTTGCCTAAATATTCAACTGAAAGTAAATTCTCTTTCTCAAGAAAGAAAATCAAATTTTTTCAAGTCCCTCATGTACAATCCCAAGTGTTCTCTGCAGTTATGACCATTTAACCTCAAACCAATGACCAGGAATGCCAAGTAGGAATTGCTCCACCCAAGGATTGTGGGTAAGCGATGGACGACCACTACTGAAGAGGTATCCATGCGTTCATATGCACTACGTACTTGCAGAGAAACCTTACTCTGTGCTGAACAGATTCTGAATTTTTCAAAAACCCACCTTTTAGAAATTTTAGTATTGACTGTTGGAGTTCTGCTTATGTCAGAATGAACAAGATGGGAGGAGTGTACTACCCAGCGGAACAGTTAATCTGAATTTTAAAATGATTGAATCCGAGACATTTCCATGAAAATTATGAATGCAGAATAAAATTAAGAGGCATTTACAGACAAAAAAAAAGAAGGCGACATAATATGAACAAATATTAGGAAGGGATAAAATATGAAACTTTAAAGGCTGATGAGACCTCAATAACCAAAGTTCGAGATCAAGTTTCAAGCACTTTCCATGCTTGAAACAGTAAGTACTCATTCTATCGCAACCATTTTTTTCTTCATATTTTCATTTAAAATTCATTTTCAAGTACCTATCTCCTTGAAATTTGTTCATGAATATCTCTGAATGAGCATAGGAAAAAAGGAAAAGCATTGATCAGTTTTTCTTCTAAGAAAATATAACAGGAGTACTCAGGAATTATAAAAATCGAGCGAGAAATACAGCTTGCTCCCTTGGTGCATCATAGAAAACGAGAAACCCTTACGCCAGAAAAATCCAAAAGCCAAAGTCTTTTCAGAGGTAATAATAAGCAAAATATTTTTCTAAATGTTTGAAAAATCACTTTGATTCGAAACGGAAAAGCACCGGCTTCTGATTGAATTTTTATTTTCACATGAAATTATTTACCCAAGTACTACTTACTCGAAGTTAATGATGGATTTAATACATTTTAAAAATGTCATGTACAATTCTTACTCTCTCTCTCTCTCTCTCTTTAACAAAATGACAAGGGGCAATAAAAATTGTTTTTACTCAGGAATTTAAGTAAGTTACCTTATGAACGGGGCTTGAATGCATTGTCATGGTGATGTACAGAACATTCAAGGGATTGGACCATTCCTGCTTTAAATATATAGAAATACTCGATGGAACAGGTGTCAGAGATAAGTCTTTACTTACTTATGCAACTTAACAAAATTATGAAGAAACATAATTATCATTAGTTTTAACTGAATAATGAAATCATTTCATGGCAATGTAGACAAATAAGAGAGCGGCTCAAGAAAGACTCACGCATTTACTCAAGTAGGTCTACTTTTGAAGCTCCATTTCATCTTCAGGAGATTGTTTTGATGTACTCTCAAAATATTACCAAGGAACTTCTGTCACTCCTCATCCCAGAACTTATGGTAATAGTGCGCAGAGATTTTCATCAATCTTTAAAATGCAGTGTCAATAAAGATCTGGCTACAAGGTCTTCGCAGAAGTATAGCTAACGCAAGATTTGGATCTAAAGGTAACTTGGAAAATTATGAAAATCTAAATTTATGAGGTTGGTACTTTCGTCATTATTTATTTCTCTTTCTTTTAGAAGTTTTGTAGCTTACCTATGTTGCCCACAAACTTGCAGAATTTTTTCCTGAGGTTATTTTTTTGGGGGAACTGATGATTCCTATGTTGATATTCAAAAGGAAACTCCCTCTCTAGTGTAAACTTCTACTTCCATGGAACGAAATTTTCAATGACTAAGATTAATTCTTAGAACATTACGTTCAAGTAGTTAGGTATTCCTTCCTTTGTTTTCAAAGCAATGCAATTGGATCAAGTCTCATCAAGCTCGAATCGAGGAAATGAGGTTTGAAGTTTTATTCTACCATGAAACTCATTTTTGAGAACACAATTTAACGACTATTGACCGTTCAATATATTTATTTTCGACTTGAGTTTTCAATAGATAAGGAAGTATATTCTCAACTCATTTTTTTTTCAAACTCAGTCCAATTCTACGAGAAGTTGGAAGTTTATTTCCTCATAACCATAATTAGGTTCTGTGTGATTATAAGTATCTCATGAAATCCTCTCTGAACACCTTAAACGATTTTTCAAAAATCTAAAAATAGTGATAAGACTCAAGTAATTTTTGAAAAAATTTGTGGAGAGAAGAACGAACCCACATTGCATTAATTGCCTGTATTTCTATCAAACTAAACTATGTGTATTAAGACATAAGCCCTGAGATCCATAAGAATATCTGCATAACAGGGCTCATATTATAATGTACCTACATAGTTCCGTTTGATAGAAATACGTCCAATTTTGAAGAGAGATTTGAAATTAAAATTCTCATCGAAAGTCTCGAACAACATACAACTGAATTTATAATAATATGTGGGTTTGTCCATCCTGCCCAGCTTGTTCCATATAATTTTAGTAATTGGAGAAAATAAACATTATGTTTCAGGAAAGTTCTTCTAGCATTGAAATCAAAGAGAGCCAAGAAAATGGGAAAATTGTCTCAGTACTGTTCCTGCATCGAGCGTCCTATCTTGACACAGGTTTCTTCAGCTGCAAGAATAAACATGATCTAAAGCAAGAGGCCAAAATCTACATTTATGTCAGAGGTAAGTAAGTATGTCTCCATTCAAACTGGATGAAGAGTAAACTGGAAGTGGAAACAGTTACAAGTTATAATTTTTTTCATAAAACTAGCTGAAAAATCGAACCATTGTAGACAGGGGGGGGGGGGGCAACGTATGTATAATTCCTGAAAAATGAGTACATTTTTTCTTTTAGAGGAGAAACTGCATTTTGCATAATAGCTACCTATGGGGTAATTTTCCCTGTTTCTCAGGCTGGAATTTTTTTTCTGAATGTTTGGAAAATGCACTTAAAAGACTTCAACTTAAAATCAATAATCCTCAAAAAAATGGTATTATTTTCTGTCCTCTCATTGTAAGCCATGATATTAACCTTTCCAGAAAAGAACGTGAATTGAGTGAGACAATAATTTAGATAAGAAGGTACTTATGGAAAACTCAAATTAGTTTTCTTTTTTCTTTTTTTTGCTGATTCTTCTTTTACAAGATAATTAAGCTCCTAATTTTCATGATTTATAAGACTCGTTGTTGTGCTCTGAAGCGAGACGGTCGCGCTTCATCTCACGCCGGATCAGTATTTTTCAACAAAATTTCGGAAAGAAAATCACCAGCATGTGATTCTGCTGGAATCGAGAAAAGTGCTCGCGTCGCGGTGTTCTGGCGGCCGGGTCCCGAGTGATATTAGTGCCAGAGTCATCATAAACAATAAACAATCGTATGGCAGACCGGCNAATTTTCATGATTTATAAAGTTCATCTGCAAAAAATATACAGAATCTCATATTACCTATAGTTTTCTCATCGAAATAGTAAATCTCAATTGCAATTCAAATTAAAAACTTGGGGCATTAGAAAAGGTGATTGAGTAACTCTATACCACAGAACCTCAACCATCATTGTCTTCATTCTCTTTTCAGATAGTGAAAAACTCCTTGCTGTGAGTGATACTTTAGTATTCCTAACGCAAAACGAGTATGGTGCGGTTGTTATTCCGTGTCGACCAACATCGCCAGATGTCAACGTGTCTCTTCTCAAAGATGGCGAGGAGGTAAATACACTCACCTCAATATTTCCAAATCGTTTTAATTGTAATAACTTTCTGTAAAACCATGTTTTTTTTCTCTTTACACCAAGCTTTTGTTTCTTCAACCAAGCACTGAGGCGCTTTTTGTTTACTTAAACAGTCATTTTTGTCTTTGCAACATACATCTGGGTTACAACGGTTTATTCTTTATCTCATTTTTAAAACATGTTTAAGATCTTCATAACAGCATTAAGCTCTCTCTACAGTATGTAGGTATCTCTAAAGTCTGACAGAAAAGGTCAGAATGAGACTTATCCTACTTCTCTCTCAATATAGGTATCTCTATCTAAATCATGCTTACGTATTTGACAGCGGTGCCAACGCTCACTTGCTTTTAACGCACTTTGGTTCTGCCATTTGCTTTTCCCAATATTACACTTCAGCTTACTTTATCAATTTACATCTCAATTCAAATGCTAGGGTTACACTAATTTTAGGACCCTTTTTCCTGGCTTTAACCATTTTATTTCGTTGAATAATTAATACTTGAAGGAAAAAGGTTCACATATTTTTGTCATTAGCAGTGAAATTATTGCCGAAACTTCTTCATGTTTGGTTCTATGTTTAAAAATTATTTACTTGAAAAATCAGGCAATTTTTTCCTGCTGAGTCTGTAGCCAGCTTCTTGAACCCCATCACAGTGATGCCCGATTATCCGATTACTAGTCATCATACCTACTTAGTCAAAATTGTGATTTTGGTTGAAAACAAAAAGAACTATTTTATGGGCAAAAGTTGATTGTGTACCTCCATGTTCTTTCGTTTTTCTTTTCAACTAAATGACCAATACTGTAGAAAAGTGGCCAAGTTTTTGCTTCTTGGTTACTGAGCCTGAAATGGCACGTTTTCAGTTTTTTTGGTTTCAAATTTTAATTATCATCAATATCCGGCCTTTGTCCTCGCCACAGATTGCAAGATAACCGGATCATACTTAACTTAAAATTTCACTGCGATCGCAAAAATAATAATACATAGTTGTTTTCAAACTCATCTCTTTTAAATCATGTTTTTACATCCATGGAGAACCTAGAACTTGAAAGTTTTAAGAGGTTGAGGTATAAGTTGGTATTGGTGTGAGAAATGAAATTATTAAGTACCTTATCAAAGTTAAAAGAAGGAACAATGATGTAGAAAATCCAGGAAAATCTCATTTTTCCATAGTGAATTATTTCCAGTTCTAATTTCTCCTGTTAGTTCACCGTAGATTCAAACCGTGAGACAGTAGACAAGGTACAAACAGCAGTACTCTGTTACATGTTTTTATTTCTAAATTGTCACTAAAAAATTATTCATACAACTAGATGTTTGGATACCAACTCCTGAAGAAGATACAAACTGTGTATTCAAAATTATTAAAATGGGAAAAAAATGATGTTGTATCGTCACCTCTTGCATGAAAGAATTTATCTTATCTGTGCTGTATTAGTATCTCTACGAACATATTATTTTCTACGGGAAATTCGTTTACAAATTATTCTGAAAATCACCGACTCCATTTTTACAAATGTAAATGACAGTCACCAGAAATTTTAATAAAATTCATGTGACAGTTTTCCTATAAACAAAAAACAAACAAGACGTAGGTAAGAAAATACATTCCTTCTAGCCGTATGTTCCATTTGGACGACATTTTGCAATTAGAAACCACCATTTCTGGCTAGTCGGTAAAAACACTCATGTGTACAGGGAAACTATTGGCACCTACGTTGCTGCTAAACTGAGCCAGAAATTGTAGTTCTGAATTGCAAAATGTTGTCTATTTGATCAGTGTCAGGCGTGCATGTGAACATCTTGCTGAAGAGTTGATTTCCAAACTTTTTGTTGTAAAATTCGCTTTCTTAGTAAAATTTTGAATAGGACATATTCAGTGTAATAATTTGATTTATACCTTGTCTGGTTGTCTGTTTTAATTACCTCATGTCTCCTTTTATACTTAATTGGATCACATTTTGCAATAAAGAACCACTATTTCTGGCTCATTTTAGAAACAACAAATATGCCATTGGTTTCCCTATGCAGAAATGTGCTTTTATGGGAAAGCCAGAGACAGTGGTTCCTTATTGCAAAATATCATCCAAGTGTACTTAATTGTGACTGTCCGCGCGGAAAGGGAACTAAAAAATTTATGAAAAAAAGCACAAAAACACATCTATTCAGATTACATCTTAACATTTATTCACAGTAACATTTTAGTACAAAATATGCTGAGGTATTGTCGACTTCCTCTTGAAGGAGCTCCCACTTGAACATAAATTCCAATTTTCTAACCCCATTTTAAGGAAAGTACACTCCAGTATTTAACTTTATAACATCCCTTTTCGTGCAGACTGTTATGATTTATGTCATAATGCTCTCTTCCGACATTGTTTTTAACCTTTGGTGATTGTTACTAACTCCAAATTAAGTGTGTGGTGTTCGGTGTTTGGGGAAGGTGAATGCACAACATGGGTTCTATGAAGGATCGGTGGTGGTGTATGATCCCAAGGAGGGGTTTAAATTTCAAAGTGCTCCCCGAGTTCTCACCGGCTTTTACGAGTGTGTTGGAACTAGGAATAACATCTCTGATAGCAAGTACGCCAATCTGCACATTATGAGTAAGACAATATATAGCTTTAACCTTTATCTATTACTTTATAGGTTTTGCTTTTCCTAAGGAAAGTGTTACGATCCACAGTTTTCATATTTACAATATAGGTGTTTTAAAAGCTTGGAAGTATTTATGTATAAACATGGAAAACAATCAGCAATTTTTAATGTTCCACAGAGAATTATAACTGAGCTTGTGAAATTTTTGCAGGTAAAATTTTGCTGTGTCAGGATTTAAAACCCATGCCTCTTTTGAAAATACTGATTTCTGGATCATGCCATTTTTCTTAGGAAAGAGTGGTTTGATGACGGCTTTAAATTGACGTTAAGTGTCTAATATCAAATAAAAATTTCACTCCAATTGTCAAATTAGTTACACCAGTATTTTCTGTTCCTGGAGTTTTTTTCCCTTAAAGAACTGACTCTTAGCCTCTTCAAGCTCAATATTTGCCTTCGTGTAATGCCTCAAAATTATCAATCTCAGTGTGTCATTAAGAAAGACCATTTAACATGGAAACATATTCCTGACAAAATATCTCTAAATACTAAGCGCATTAATCATAGGCAAGCTTAAGTTTTTAGGGAATTTTTTTAATCTTTGCATAAACATTTGCTGACCTCAACACATCATTTTTTCCTGTATATGTTCCTTTCTCTCTCTCCCCCCCCCCTCTCTCTACCTCTCTCTTTAAGGGAGGGGGGGGGTGATTTTCTTCTTTTATTAAGAAGAGGAACTGAGATTGATATTTTTGAGTAAGTTTGCAAGAGCTTAATTTCTCTTTTTTTTGCACATGATTTTCCAGTGCTTTTTTGTGTAGCTGTTAAGGAAACGCTATTTTACGTCGTCTATTTCACCAGAATATTAATACAATGCTTGTTAGTATTATTCCTGAGTATTTTAAAGGTCTTACTCGTTTTAGTAACATACCAAGCAGTATTGTTTGCAAATACTTCTCAATCCATCTGATAAACAACCAATCAATAATGGCAAACAGAAAAACAATTTTTATAAATTATTTCTCAGAATTCCCAGTCTTCTTCCCCAAAAATGTAACGTGGGAAAGTACACTTATTTAAGTTAAGCATTCATCTAATGAATTGGAATAACTTTTAATGATTGATATTTTCAGTTGCCAGAAGCAAAGTTTGACCCGTACATTGGGTTCACAATAGATAATCCAACGGTTCGCGACTCAGGTATTGTTAGTTGTGAAGCATCGCGCAAGAACGTTAGCTCTAGTCAAATCTTTAACATTCGTATCGATAGTAAGTGCGAGTCATTTTATTGGATTTTATCTTCACTGGTTGTGGTTTGACTCATCTGCTCATTAACTCATCTCATGCTAACACGTATTTCCATCCAGGGTAAAATTATGAACCCTAAACTATGCTGTAGTCACTGTTTGATCAGTATTTTATTGATGGCTTCATTCTATCAATGTCCATCGCTCATTTTCTTAGATTTTTTTTGTATGTGAGAGCCAAATAAAGAACTTACTTCTGGTTTTTTAGCTCGGAAATCGATAAACAAATTCAAGAAGCGCACCTATTACATAGCCTTACATTTCATTTTGAGAGGAGAAATTGTAATCAGAACCAGTAAAAATCCGTTGCTAATAGAGACAAACTTTCAAGTTTTGTAAAATTCATCCATGAGCCGTATGTGCATTTCTTGCCATTAAAGTCTTTTCTTAAAAAGCCTATGATGAATCTTAATTTGTGTATGCAATGGAAAGTGTATTCAAATGAAATTAATTCATCATGAAGGAACAGAGTTTGAAGATAATGAGTCTTGTCCAGGCTTCTATGTAGCACTCACCATCTTTCATACTCCATCAATCAATAACTGTGCTGTTTCAACAGGTCTCTTTTCTTTTTGCTCTTAAGGAGATCATTTTTAATCACTCATCACCAAGGTTTTGTTTTCCGATGAAGTTCATTATCATGCCTGTACTGAAGCATCTTTCAGTTTATCACAGTCATAACTTTAACCTAAACTCTGTTGAGTTATTTATCAAATCACTAATGTCTGTATAAAATAGTACAATTTTTTTCTTTTTCTTTTTAGCACACTATTGTCCTTAGCTATCATACCTAGAGAGTCTACCTTGAGTATATTAAGTTCATGGCGGAGTCCTTTAGAAAGTGGCGTCAATGTGAATTTATCAAACAGAAACCAAAGTCTATCATTCTTTCAAATACATAAGTTCCTCGACACTTTTTTGTTTGTATCATTAATTCACTCAGAATTGGCCGTTATCCTATGATTTTTTCTTCTCTTTAATTCGTTCATTTATTTTTTTCATTTTTTTTCTTTCTTTCTTTCTTGCTTTGTGATGTCTCACAACTAACATTGCTAAGTACACTTGTATCTTGAAAACATTTTTTTAAATATTCTATCTCATTTTTTATTTTGATTTTTCTCTTTATTAGTGAGGTTTTTTTAGAATTTTACTTCACACTTTTGGTGCTGTTATAAGAGGAGTAACAATATTCTTAGTTCGTTCAAGTATCTTTGGTGTAGGTACCTTTTTCATTTTAAGATTGACTACCGCACCTGTCACCATCATTGTGGAAGGTCTCATGAAAGATTCCTCTAAATTCACGTGATATGTATGTATGAGCCACTTTTACAGCGCGCTAGGGCGTTCTGCAATGCCTACCCGCCACAGGAATCTGTCTTGTGACAACTGAGTCAATGCATAGCTAACTTAAAGGAAAAAATGCAGAAATCACTGAAGGCACCAAAAATATTATAAAATGACCCGAAAAATCCTTTTCAAGTATAGGCACTCTTAAAGATCACAGGTTTTTGGAGGTATCTTTCATCTACCTCTACCTCTCCTTACTGCATTCAGAATTGTGTCCAGGAGGTTTCTAATGCAGTCAATCCTCACCAAATCAGAATGCAGCAGGACCAAGGGTTCATTCCGACTTAGCAGGGGCTCCGAGTTAAGCGGACTATGTATACATTGGCAAAACGAAAAACAGGACCAAGCCATTACTATCGAGTCAGCAGAGTTTCCAACTTACAAAGGCTTAACTGTAATTTTTGTCGGTCCTTGATCCTGGATAAGGTTTTTAGTGCTCATGTCAGTTGTCATTTTTATCTTGAGCCCAATCCGGACGAAGTCTTTTTCATATTTTGATGAGTAACTCAAACCTTGTGTGGCACTCTTGCTCTTTGAAATTTTGCTCAATTTGTATTTACTTACTCTCTCTTTTTCTTGTATAATTTCAGCTCACACAGATACTGTTCCAAAGCCTTTTATCAATTCAACCAAAGCTAGTCATATTGTAATTGGTCATGATGTAGAGCTCGATTGCTCGGTCACAGTAGGAATTGATGTTCGCATCTATGTCGACTGGATCCTACCTAGAGATGAATTACTCAACGTGAGTTAAGCTTGTCACTTGTCTTATCTTGATAATGTATCATCTCTCTCACCCTCGTAGCAATGACTGTTGAATATCATCTTGAGAAACTTGTAAATTTAACAAGATAAATATACTAAAGAAAAAATTTTAAAGTGTGCAAATCGAGTATCCATAAGAGATCTGCAACAGTTAATCTTGGTAACTCTTTATAAAATTCTTGTGTTTTTTCCAGTTTTATATGTTGCACATTCAGCACCATTGCCAGCTTTCTGTTTGAATTTTATACTTTTTGTCATTTCGGTCTCATTTTTACTCCCTTTATTTCTGCAATGAAGTAAAAAATTTCCCTGAAACTCTCATCACTTGAATTTTATTAACTTTTTAACTATAATCTCTCATCAAAAATTTGTATTTTACCTGTACTGGTAAAGAATTTTGCTGCGCTGAAAACAAAATTTCTTCACAAGAATACCTGTAAATTTTTGCTATGCATGACTAGTCTGTAGATATATTCAGTGCAAGAGTGCCAATAATCATTCCAGATCTTGAGTTTCAAAATGAAAAATTTTTGATCGATGAAGCCTTTTTTGAAGTTTTTCTAGCAATCATTGTCTAACAAGTTACCAATCAAGTTTTTATACTCAACCTTAAAACAATAGCTCCTAAAATCACAGATTTTTATCGATGTAATAATGCCAAAATATCATTAAAATTTCTAGGGCAATAGATCCCATCACAAATCCACTTAAGTGTTATTACCTAGAAAGATTATAGAGAAGGAAAGTATCTCCTTTTCTGCTAAAATGTGTATCCCTAATTTGAAACATTTTTGCGTGATAAATATAGAGAATCTCATGAATTTCAGGATAGCCGTGTGAAAATTGGAGAAGACTCTACCAAGAAAGTGGAGATTAATGGTGTCCATTCAATTGTTGGACACAAATCATTGGTAATAAAAAATGTTACGGAAGCTGACCAGGGTGTTTACATATGCTCGGTCACTGACCACTCCAGCAAGAACAGCAAATCAGAATTCATTTTGGAGACACATTGTAAGTATAAAATTATTTTCTATACATGCAGCAGAGAAGCTTTAAGAGTTAATCACAATGGGTCAGTTGTGCTAGTCACCAAGTTGAGTTTTGAGGATTTCAGATGAAAGAGAAATACAAAAAATAATTGCTGAAATCATTCATGGATCTGTTTTACACAAGAGACTCAACCAAATCAATAGATTTTTTCTCTGTAAAATTTCAACCAATTCAAACAGTGTATCAGAAATATGTATAGCACATTCTGTAGGTAATGCACAATTTGCATTGAGCATCTCACACTCTTAAAAATTTACTGAATTCCGAACACTTTTTTCAGAGTTGCGGAAAACTAGATCAGCCCAGAGAAAGATGTAAAAAATCTAACCAAAATTCTTAAAAAATGACATATACTACTATCAATTTCTGTGATGTGCATATATGATTCTGATCATTCTAAAGCATTTATTTACGATGCACATAGCTGGAAAAAAAGTAAACCCTAATGGTTTAAAACAGTGGAATGCACTTGTGAGAAAAATTATATTAGTGCTTTACAAAATATTTTATTTTTTTTAAAATTAGGTTCGTTTTTTTAACATCTCTCTGTAGACAAACCTAAATACTGGTAACTAAGAAAAAAGTGTCCTCAACATGGATAAATTTGCAAATGCATAGTACAGACTACGCAAATTGAGCATTTCAGGAGTGTTTTGTTAACATCTTTAATATGCTTGGTACGATTTTTGGATGATTTTCCCCCTCAAAAGTCCACTCAATTGAAAGTCTGCATCTTTTGTGTATGCTTTGAATCTGCAGGGTATTTGCCTCATGATACCTTTACACTCATCTAAAAGTACCAATTAAGTCGTGAATGTCATTGGGAAACTTATATGTTGATTTGGTCTTTTTTCTCAGCGGCTGATGATACCTACCTGAATCTGACACTGCAAGGAGATGTCCATGAAATCATTCAGCCTGCAGGAACACAAAGCATTCAGTGGATTGTGCTTGTTGCCGCTCATCCAGAGCCAGTCCTAACATGGTCAGTCTCTCTTTTTCTTTTTAAGATCCTAAATATTATTATTTTTGAACTTGCTGCTTATCCTGCCCAAAGGTTTCCATAATTTATCCTCTCAATCAATAGGCTTTACCTATAACTTTATATATATACCAAGACCAATCCACACAGGTCAGTCATTGCGCATCTTTTTGAAATCCACTTCCCCACCCAACCCTAACTTGGCGGCACTCAATGCTACGTCACAATGGGTGCTCCCATAAGAAATACATTGCAGGCACTCAATACTGCGTCTTTGCGCTGTAGAGTTCCAAAACTCGTCCTTGAGAATGACTGACCTGTGTAGATTGGTCTTGATATATACCTTACTTACCTAAAATGGAACACTGATGTTACTTAGTTTTAAATGAGAGCTATTTTGGAATGATGCTAAAATTTCTCTGACAACTCAGCTTGGCACATTATTTTAAAAGAATTTCAATCCTCATTTGATTAGAGGCAAATAAGAGCTATTCTTTATGTGACTTACTTTTACACTCTCATGAATGACCTAAAACTCATTGTTTTATTTTTTAGGTTCAACCCTGAAGGTAAAGAAATCATGTTAGGTTCCTCAAGCTCAGGAAAGTACAGTGTGATGTCAGATTTATTCACCACGAAATTGGTCATTAAAAACTTGGCGGTCCATGACTCAGGCACTTACAGTCTTGTTGCCGATAACAGTGCTCATAAGCGGCAGCTGAATGTATCTTTGTTTGTCCAAGGTAAGACATATACCCCATTTCCCAATAATATCTACAGTATGATCACTGCTAAGATGAGGAGGAATGCTGTATGAATTAAAACAATTTTTTTAGTAGGCATGAATTCGAAACAAAATCCTGATACTCAGCTCAATGATGAAGACAGAAAAGGCATATCGACGGTGAAAGTCGGCAATCACATAACTCGGTTTGCGACGTCGCAGACTTCCTGTCATACTTTATTTTTTAAATGGAAAACTACTCAATGGCAATTCTTTAAAACTGTCATGATTTTTCTTCTCAATGCGAAGAAAATTCTGCAAAAACTTCAAGAAATAATATCAATTTGTTCTCCTTTAAAACAATTATGTAGAGGCGGAGATTTTCAGACACCGCAAACGAGTTATGCGATTGCCGACTTTCACCGTCGATATCTTCATTGGATTTAGAGACATGGGGAGGGTGCATGCTCTATACTGCCGTGCTAAAGAAGAACGCCGTATGAACCTTTAGGTGTTGCCAAATTTCCTTTGATAAAACACGAATTTTCTGGAAAACTTATGAATATTTTTGCTCTAGTTTTTCAGATAATTTTGTTCACAATTTCATCTAACGGTCCTGAAAATTTCAAGGAAAAATATTCATAACTTTCTTCAAATGTAAAAATTTTATTGAGGGAAATTTGGTGACTCTCGAATGTTCATACAGCTCTCTTCCTAATAAGGCAGTATATGCTAAAGCTCCATAATGGATAGGCTATAATGGTTGCCTGCTGTATGTCTAGGAAACTTGATCCGCATGGGGCATGCTTAGTGGTTATCCCTATTCACCGCGTATACTTGTGTAGCATCTACATTTGGTGGCCCATACAGCAAGCAACCTCCTGTGAAACTAGTTGGATGCTCTGTATGATTTCAGCAGACTTCGCTTGCTGGCAAACAAAAATGTTGATTTTAAATGATAATTTCCAAAAATCAGAATCTGGAGCTGCACACTTGAATTTGAAAATTTTCCACGAGCTCTACTCCAAAGTTTGCCGATGAAGCATGTATTGTTAGCATCGATTTGTAACCCTGTCTAGTGATTTAATGTTATTTTTCAGTGGAAGGCACAATTTAAAAAAAACCTGTTTTTAAACTAAATCAAAAATCACAACGAATACCTGTTATCGCCTAATCGTTTTTTATCCTCCAATTTCAGACAGGCCAAGTGTCAAATTGTACAATGAGCAAGCTTACTATCTTGCAGGCACTTCACGCCGCATCGAATGTGCCACCATCGCTTACCCTCTTCCTCGAATCACGTGGACCATGAGCAGCTGTTCCTCTTACCCTAACTGCAGTGATGAAGCGTATCCTCTTCCTGTAAGTTTCCATGCTAGGTGGATTCATCAGTTTTAAGCCACTCAGCCTTGCTTGGATCAGCAATAGAGCAATCTTACGGTCTTTGTTGGCACATGAGTACAAAGAGAAGTTTTTCAGTATCTGCCGTATTCTTTGGTCTCTTTTTTTAGAAGATAATTGCGGTTTTAAATTTTTTGCTGTCTTATGGCAAATAACAGGATCAGCAATCATTGCCATTATTTATAATGCGCTTGCGCAGAATGTAATATTTGTCGAGGGATATTGTTTACAGCAGTTGCAACTGTAGGCATGAAGAAATATCAACAATGAAACTCCGAAAACATGAAGTAATATTTGATTTCCGATTGTTTTTTCAATATTTGACCCTCCATCATCATCATAAAAAATTCTGTTTGATATTTTTATGTTTTTTCAAAAATATTTGCTATGAATTTCATCTAGAATTATGTGATTTTACTTGTAAAAAGAAAGTGGCATATGTGTCGAAATTTTGAAATTCCATAACAAAATAACATGTTTTTATAGTTTCAACATGTTGATAATTTGTTGTAAGTTGACAGTATACTGAGAAATCATTGGAACTGCATCGCACAATGGGAATTATTATTTTTAGCTCATCCATAAATGCACAATCTGCATGGGATCATCAATGACACACATATTTGTTCTAAAAAGAGCCTGAAGTAATAGTTCGGTATTGCAAAATTTAGTCCATTTTTAGGAATGTATCCTGTGACGTAAGACAGTGTTAAGCCAAAGTAACACAGAAGCACCACAGAATACACTGAACTCACACTCGTCAAAATTAATCTCAGTACTTTTATGGAGTAATTTTGAAGTTATGGCCAATTGATACTTACTTTTGAGATTATCCTCCTCTTCATATACCTATCCTACTTCTTTCGGTTTATTTGTCTCTCTCACAAAACTGTGTATTGTATTTTACAGTCATCAGAATATACGGATACTGTGATGAGTAGTATTGATCTCAAATCTCAGATCATTTTTGGAGCTAATGACACTACAAAGTTTACATGTGAAGCCTGCAATAGTTTTGGATGCGAAAACGACACTTCAATTTTTGTCGTGTCAGGTATGTTTCCTTCTTTAATTTGCAATCAACTTATTCTTGAAAGATACTTTTAGGACTTATAACTATGATCTAGTTGAAAACATTTTTTCCCATTAATTAATGACTACTTCGAAGCTAGGTAATTACGAGTGCGATATTTCAATAAGTGGACCAGGGAATCGTGTACCTCAGTCACTGTGTTATGAAATGTTGATGGTTCAATCCATCTATTTGATCAAATATTTTGGAACAGCGCCTCTTAAAGCAACCCTAACTCAAAATCCCTCATCGCAATCCCTTTCCCATAATAATTCAGCAGTCGAGATTGTGTCAATAATCAAGTTTTTTGGTACATACTGGCAGACCTCATCTACTGTTTTTTCAAAGTGGTTCATGGCAAAATTTAAGAATTTCAACTCAATCAGGTGATCATTTTGAATTTGATTAGTAAAACATAGGATTTATTAAGCACAAAATGCCAGTGAAGTTTCCTTTTATTACTGCTCTTGACTGCTTCATTTCAATGAAATGTAAATATATTTATTTGCTTAGATGTTGAAAACGGTTTTGCTGTTTGGGGACCGGATTTGATTGTTGAAAAAGATGATGTGGTCTTGGGATGTGGTGCCAGCAAATATGACTACCTCCCCGAAATCAGTTGGATGTTTACAATGTTCGACGAGTCGGGTTGGTCAACTCCCATGCCTGTCTCTCAGTCTCCCAGTAAGTGATCGACACTATCTCCGTTTCTCATTTTTTCTCCTTGCAACCGATGTATTCTCAAACTTTTTAATCATGATTTTAAGCTATGAACCTTATCAGAAGAAAGGGTAGAGCTTAATTATTAGCAGAGCTTGTTTTAAGCACAATTTTTTTTTCTATCTGCTTTAGACTCAAAGATCTACTAACTCTTAAAGCTAAGAGACCCTCTTTGTGGCATGGCATTTGTATTCCTCTGTAATTTTATCGGATTGGAATTGGATTTCAAGTTTGTTGGTTAAAAGACCAAAAATGTGTGGAAAGTTTGCCAAGTTAATTCTTCACTTTCTTTTGTTTCCCTTAATTATTTTTATCTACATTCTCTCATTTCTGACAGAATATAGATTGACCCACGGGAAAAGCAGTTTCTCTTTTATGCTGGAGTTGACGATAAAAAACGTGAGCCATAGTGATACTGGAGCTTACACCTGCGTGATCAACTCACGGCCTGGAACAGCGGGCATTGATCAAGAGAGTACTTTTACTGTTGATGTCAAATGTAAGTTTCCTACCTCACACTTTCAACTTGTACTTATTTTTCTTTCATATACCTCTCTCCTCTCAAAAATCTCTCCAAATAGGAATTAGAAATTAATTAGGATGAATTCGTGAGAAAAATTGATACTGAAAATTCATACTCTATTATGTGTCAATGGGCCTGTTGCCAAATTTTGCCAGAGCAACATTAAGAGTTGTTTCTTAAAGAAAATGTCTCAAAAATCACGATAAAATCATCGACAAAGTCTAAAGTGCACTCATGACTTCACAATCTGCACAAGAAATTTGCGTTTTTTTGAGCTTCCCTTTTCAAAAACAATATTATAGCAGAGGTGAACATTTTGTTAGAAAAGTTGTTCCATCTAACCCCTGCTCAATAGGATTCTACTTGATATTCAACATGGCCGACGCTAATCCGCCACAACACGAGTGATGGTACGAGGTTTCAACCACCTGATAACAGTCGGCGTGTTTACACTCACATTTTTCTCACATTGAGACTGTTGAGAGATAACTGTTTTGATTGACCTTGTGCTCCCCTCGACCTACGCGTGGAGGCGTCAGCCGTGATGAATATTGCGGAACATCTTATTAAGCAGGGGTTGAATGGAACGACTCTTCTAACGAAATGTTCATGTGTGCCGTAGTATTGTATACTCCTCAACTTGACTAAAAGAAATAGCTGTGCTGAAAATATTGCCTCCGTGGACGACAGTCCTTTTTTCTGTAGACTGTCACTTATACAGGGTGGCCCAGACCTACCGTACCAGGCCTTTTTTTCGGTTAATTTGGGTCGCACGAAGTCCAGGATCGCGGGGCTGAATTGGGAATGGACCCCAAGAAATCCGAATTTCATAGTCCCAGAGCCCCCCTGGCGTTCCTTGGGGGGTAAAAGGGGGGTCTGTACTTCAAAAGTCAGGGTATATGTCGAAATTCTGAAATTATTTTATCGGAATCAGAATGTGCGGAAATTTTTAACTTAAATCGATACCAAGAAATCCAAAATCAGCCCATCCGTGTCCTAAATACCGACCCCTAAAAATGGGGGACAGAGCCTCCTTTCCAAAAAATTCAAGTTTGTTAAATTGACGTGGAGACTCGGAGAAAATGAATATTCATAGGTAATCGACCCCAAGGAATCCAAATTTGAGGGTCCTGTTGTCGACAGAGACTTTTCTGATGGAGCACAGGGGTAACCTCCACACCGGTTAAATTTAAAAGTTCAGAGTCCCCCTGTGCCCCATCAGAAAAGTCTCTGTCGACAACGGGACCCTCAAATTTGGATTCCTTGGGGTCGATTACCCATGAATACTCATTTTCTCCGAGTCTCCACGACAATTTAACGAACTTGAATTTTTTTGAAAGGGGGCTCTGTCCCCTACCTTTAGGGGTCGGTATTTAGGACACAGATGGGCCAGTTTTGGATTTCTTGGTATCAATTTAAGTTAATAATTTCTGTGCGTTCTGATTCCGATTAAACAATTTCAGAATTTCGACGTATACCCTGACTTTTGAAGTATGGACCCCCCTTTTACCCCCCAAGGATCGCCAGGGGGGCTCTGGGACTATGAAATTCGGATTTCTTGGGGTCGATTCCTGATTCATCCCCGCGATCCTGGACTTTATATGACCCTAATTAACCGAAAAAAAGGCCTGGTACAGTAGGTCTGGGCCACCCTGTATTACAAAAAGTAAAAAAATCTATTTGATCATGGTTGTTTCATACCCCATCTCTCCCTCCCTCCCTCTTTTTCTCTAAAAATTATTTTTAAATTTCACAGCTTTATCTGCTCCCATGTTAATCATCAACAAAAGTAACATGAATGACAGTGCATGGACTCTAGGAACAGGCCATCAGATCAAATGGAATTGTTTCATAGACGCAACTCCGCCGCCAACAATTATATGGTATAAGGTAATATTCTGCGCAGTTTCTTTGATTTTTAATTTTTTTTTTTTTTTTTTTTTTTGCTTTTTCAAAAACTTTCTTTGAAAATTTCATTCATAAATCGTTCAGCCATATTTTCTAGAAATTTTGAAATGCCCCAGTCAAATTCTGTGTTTTCATAGTTTCATCATCAATACGCTCTGAGGAACAGCAGGTATATTGAGAGTTTAATAAAGCTTTTTTGCAGGCTTTTATCCCGACTTATGAAATTGTATCTCGTTCATCAGAAGGGCACCTTATTAAGGTAGATCCCCTGCAATGATATTTCAGTTTAAAAATCGTGTCCAAGGTGAGCTTGCACTGTTCTTGTACTGGTCTATTAAGATTATTGTCATGATTTTCTTCATATATTTCCAGGATGGTGAAATACTACAATTACCAAAGAATGGATCCAGAATAGAGCTCCTAAACAATAATCAGACTTTGTTGATCAAGTATGCTGCTCTGGGAGATGATGGAAAGTACACTTGTTTTGCAACGAACAAAGCTGGCAAATATGCTGTCACAAATACACTAATTCTCGCAGGTATTGTTCTTCTTTTTCCTGTATTTTAATCCGTACAAATTCAAATGCCCAATTATTGCAGTCAGAGTTTTGCAATGCTTACTAAGCAAATTATACGTACTGATCTCTCTTTTTTAGCCCCTTCAGCCAACCAATTTCTGTGCGTCAAAGCTGCCTTTTCTGGGGGAATCCCAATCGTTTTCTAAATTTACTCAGTCTTTAAACCACTTAAAATTTCCTATGTAATCATTACAAAATATCTCAAAAACAAGAACTGAAAATAAAACAAATCATGTAACAATGAAAAATTAAAAGCTAATTGAACTCGTTTCTGGGAAAATATCATGCTTGGTGTTTTTTTTACATCACAGCAAAATATTTGAACACGAGTGAGTTCTCATGTTTGATTATTTACAAGGCATGTTGACTATTTTAATGCATTTTTACCATTTTTCTCCGTCAATTAATTGCTCAAAATCCTTATTTTATCTCAGACAAACCAGAAGAACATGACCACTTGCATCTCATCATCTATGCTGGTGTGGTCCTGCTCTTGGCGTTCTTTGTTGTTTGCTGGCTTGCTTGCAAAGTTCATAAGGAAAAGGTAATGCATCACTTTTGATTTCTTTGATTTTTATCAAATGGCTGCAGAACTGAATTGAACTTCAAGTACCCCAGTAGGCTTTATCTCAAACTTGTATTCACAGTCTTATCCCCCTCATTCCCAGCAGCCAGCCCCAGGCAACTATTGCTTGAGACCATTAAACTTGGATTGCCAAGCCGGGAATTGAACCAGCAACCCTCTGATCATAGAATCAGCACTACAACTTCTTCACCATAGGAGGGGACAAATACATTTTCGGGTCACATCTGTGCCCTTAGCAACTATACCATGCTATCTGTTCTCTGACATCAGTGAATCATTATTGTCCAAGATGTGACTAATAAATTATCTATAGATAAAAGGGTAATATCGCGAAACTGCTAAATCAGTTACAGTAAAACTTTCTCCAATCAGAACGCATCAGGACCAACCAGCTCCTGGATGGATGTTAATGGTTTTTGATAAAAAATAGTCTTTGCTGGTTAAGAACTTTATCTGCTCCGCTGACAACAGTATGGTATCTTGATTCCTTGGAAGTACCTCTGACAATAAGATAGTCTAAGTTCCGAAACTTAGACAACGACTTGGAGAAAATCCCATTAACATCGGCTTTGGAGAGATAATTGGTCATGATGTGAGGGGCCCCACTATAGATGGTTCTGATGTATGCAGAAATTTTATATGTTGTTCTTTTTAGCATAGAGACAGAGCTGTGTGCTAATAACGTCTTAAGTAGTTTTCTTCTAAAAGCATATGATGCTAACGAGTTTTACCGTAATTATTTGTACTAACATTTCAAGACATCAACTCTCCCTAAGTTTTTAAATTTCCCTTTCAATATTTCATCTTGCATGCATATCATAATGTTTGATGCTAAATAGGTGAACAAGGTTCTTCCAAACCAGTTTTATTCCCTGATTTTGTAATTTCTCACTTCAGTCACGAATGCTGTTATTGATGCAAGCTTTACTTAAATTTGCCTTTTAGTTTATTATGATTATTTTTTTCTTCTTAGAAATTGCGGCGGGAGTTGACAGCAGCTGGACTAATCAATTTTGAAGAGGGAGCAATTGAAAGTTTAAACCCGGAGCTTGGAGTTCAAGAGCAAGCTGATATGCTTCCATACTATAAAAAATGGGAGTTTCCACGTGATAAATTGAAGTTAGGTAAGGTACATCTTGGATTGCTATTTAATACCCCTCTGAAGCTCTTGGTAGGCCAATTCGTGGTATCCAATCATTCATCTCAGAACGAACGTTTCTTTATATGAATTGCCTTTTAAAATAGATCGAGATTCATATTTGTAGAAATATATACCTAATTTATTTTTAAAAATTTAACAAAGATTGAAAACGGTTAAAACCTTAATTGCAATGAAGACTTCAGACGCATTTTGGGCAGGCGGCCGCAACATTTGTCTGCAATTTTTGTTTTAAGTGAATTTGTAACTGTTTTTAGCCTTTTCTAAATTTAAAATAATAAAATTGTGATACTTATGCGATAAGTTGTTCCCTATTCGAATTGAAAACAAACTTAATGTTACGCTAAGAAGAAATAAAGCTCGTACCTAAACTGTTATTTTTTCAAAATCATCTCTTTGCTTGATTATTTCTTGTTCAAGTGTCCGAATTCCTTCTTTGAATTTTAGCTTTAAGCTACCACTCTATAATAATGCATTATGAAAGGATGACTTTCAAATATTTCACACGTAAAACCTTTGAATAATTTACCCAGGTATATTTGGGGTATGTTAAGGTTTAATTTACTGATAATCCCTAGTGTCAATTTTTCTCTCTTTAATGTCACAGGAAAACAACTAGGCTCTGGTGCATTTGGAGTAGTTTTGATGGCTGATGCTGATGGAATTATCGAAGAGGGTGTCAAAACAACGGTGGCTGTCAAGATGGTCAAAGGCAGCATTGACTTTTCTGCCGTGAAAGCCTTAGCATCTGAGCTGAAAATCATGATTCATCTTGGCAAACATTTAAATGTTGTCAATCTCCTTGGAGCTTGCACAAGGAACCTGAATAAACGTAAGAATTTATTGGTAGTCAGATGTATATAATTGCTTCTACACATCGGATTAGCATTTCTTAGCTTAATAATAAAAAACAATAAACAGATTTAAGGCTAAAATATGAAAAACGGAAACACAGTACGATTTGGCGCCCTAAAGCATCATTATCACGTGCCAAACAAAGAAACCACCAACAGTGATTACATGGTAATGGACTAATAGTCTAAAATGTCAGTGATGAGAAAGTAAACTTTAAAACCCATTATGCAGCAAATATCAAATACATGAACTTTGGATTACACCGAAACTGACATTTTCACAGAATACCTAGCAGCAGTGAACAGCCAAGAAAGTACTTGCTGTTTGTATTAATTTGATAATTAATCTATATATGGTCATAGTTAATGAACATCTCAGCATGATATTTTTTAGTCTTAAATTTTTTTCATGGTGCTGAGCTACACATTCCAATGTTTATCCGTATCAAAGGTAACCAATTGATTATGCCTTCTAACACATCCAAGAAGTGGCTTCTCAAACTCAATCAGGCAGTTTTACTAAAAAAAATAATTTGGTCTCTTCCTTTTCCTGTCACAGGTGAACTTCTAGTCATAGTTGAATATTGTAAACATGGAAGTCTTCATAACTATTTGCTGCAGCATAGACAGTATTTTATTAATTTAATCAATCCAGCCAGTGGGAAACTGGACAGCTCTTTCATGCACAGGTAAAGACTTGCAACTCATCAAACACTAAAAAACTCTTGTAAAGTATTTAAAAATACATTTTCAGAAGTCAATGTCACTCCGTATATTGATAGTGAATCTAAAGAAACACACTTCTAAAACTCCTCTTTGCCTCCCTTAATTTAAAAATCTAAATTTTTTTATGTACACCCATCTTCTAAATTTTTTGTAAAGACATTAATAGCGTAAGATGCTGAATGTCTTTAAATAAATTAAGTAACTAACTGTATCCTCAAAATTACAGATTTCCTGTTTTATCCTTTGTTTTCTTGAATGATGATCGATCATTAGTATTGCATGGCGTTTTTTTTTAATATCTTCTCATCTTTCTAAGCATATTCTCTGAAAATTACACATAAATATTTTTGAAAACGCGTCCTGTTGAAAAATTAAAAAAGTTTGGAAGATAATTTTAAGACTTGGCAAAGGCGCCATATATATTCCTCTTCTCTTAACTTTACCATCCATTTGCAACCAGACAACTTATTCTAAACATATATCTGGTCAATTGGGAGGGGGGGGGGGGCATTTTTATGATCTTGGTGCACAAAACCCCACTCTTGGAGGGGAAAAATAACTCCTGTAAAGCGCTTCCGTTGTTCTATTAGTTTTCTATTTTCAGTTCCCCAGCAAAAAGCTGAGAACAAGAAAAATGTAAGGAATTAAACCTAAAATATTAACAAATATATCAAAGAAAGTAGTGAAATTAATCAAATTATTAAGTAGATACTCACCTTGAGCTTCATCGATGATTTCAATGTTAATATAAACGCACATTCTTATGGTCCTCTATCTTTAGTATGCCAAAATACTGGGATCTACCCAATCCAAACTATAGCGGAAGGCGAAACAGCAGCATCCGAAGCAGTCAACGCAATAGTAATTATTATACAAACTCTGCCTCAGCCTCTGTCAATACTCAAACTACCATGCTTTTCGATTCTGGCACACCAATTGGTAAGTTTCCCTTTGTTTATATATTTTAAAAGAATCATAAGATGTTCCCATAGCAGGCAAGTGTTATAAAGCTTTGTAAAAGTAATTTTTATATTCGCCTGATAATCTTTCTTCACAGTTCCATCTGAACTTTTTTCTCATTTTTTCCAAGTCAGTTTTTTGTAACACAGAGAATCAGGATTAGCGATAACTCTTGAAAAATTTCTCAATTTACACTGATTTCCTGTATGAAATCGCTTGAAGATAAGCTGAAACTTTGAATTTGACCTGATTTGTCTCACTCAGAAATAGTATTACAGTAAGACCTCGATTTATCGGATTTCACGGGACCGGAGGCCGAATCCGTTAAATCGCGGAATCCGCTAAATGGCGCTAGTCGGTCCTGCTGAAGAGACCGTAGGATCGATCCATTAAATCGTGGAATCTGTTGAATCGCCATCCGATAATTCGAGGTCTAACTGTATTGCATTAAGGTGTAAAAAGCTCCAAGCCCGCCCTCATTTTTGACCGAAATGCATGCTTGTTCCCTCTGGAGACTAAAAGGGGAAAAAGCCCTTTACCTTCAAAAATGAATTGGACTTATCCAATGCTAAAACTCTGTTGGTCTTTCAACATCTAAAAAGTTGATTGTACTCATTGCAAACTATAAAAATTAATGCGTTTCCTTTAACATGACTTCATCTTGGCTTGTTTTGTACTGTGCAATTATACCAGATGTTTTATCTCTTTTTTTAATATCCCCTGAGAGCAACAAAACAGGATTGAATGATAATTGAATTTTTCTTGTAGGTGAAGATGGGTATCTCCAGCCAATCGGCAATCCAACTCAGGTGTCAAACACAAATGATAAACAGCCATCATACATCAACTCAACAGATTTAGTTTGTTGGTGTTTCCAAGTTGCTAGGGGAATGGAATATCTAGCAAGTAGAAAGGTACTTTTCCTCTTAGCATAGATGAAAATTAATTTAATTTTAACTTATTAAATCTGCCTATCACGAGGCTAGTCATTTTGTGAAGCCCTTTTAATTTTAAACTTCAGAAAATGTAAAATTTCAATCCCTGTTGATATACCCTTGCTTGAAAAGTTCCAGAGCTACTCCTCTGATGGTGTTTTGAAATATTGTAAAATTACATGCAAGAATATGGTGCTCAATTTTAAACAAAAGCCTTCAAACACAAGTTTCAAATTGCAGCTCCTTGCCATACAACTTCTAACTCCCATTTTGAAGCTCTTTTTGATTTAATAGCGTTTTCAATTTCTAGTTACGTATTAAAAAAATGGGGGAGAAAAGTTAATGTAATCATTTTTTTTTTTTGGTTAAAATTTACATTTTTAAAAACCTTTTCTTACTCATTGTCAGTGTGTTATATGCTGCCAAATCGTTGCATGTTTGAATTTTCTAATTTTTAAAAAGAGGGTTACTCATTATGTAAATAAATGAAGGGGAAAAAATTGATTGGTTGCTTAATGTTAAAGACATTGCTTTGAAAATTCATTTTTCTAATAATCTATCAATGAAAATGTTTCTCTCTTTTCGTCAGCTCATCCAAATTATTTTATTTTGACAGGTGTTGCATGGAGACTTAGCTGTGAGGAACATACTGCTTGCAGATGATAATATTGTAAAAATTTGTGACTTCGGCCTATCAAAAAGCATGTACAATGCTGATAATTATCTAAAGAAAGGAGCCGTAAGTATCTTTAAAAAATTGTATACTGTTCCCTTGTTTAATTGTAGCAAGTCTAAGGTGTTGTTTCCAACATGTTGGTCACTTGTTTGCATCCTATTAGTTCAAAACATGATTAGATCAGTCCTATCATTTTTTATAGAATTGATTTTTGTCTTAATAGTAACGGAGGTGATGATCTTTAATTCAAGGTGTCATTGTCATTCTGGATTGGTAGAAAAAAAAGATGACCTCAAGCCAAATCAGTTGGCTTTTCCCAAAATCCATTCTCAAAAATCTATGAATTTCAAAGTAACTATAGTTTTAATCCTCTACAGGGAAAACTTCCGGTCAAATGGATGGCTCCAGAATCAATACGCGACCGAATATTCTCAACTCAGTCCGATGTTTGGTCTTTCGGAATCGTTATTTGGGAAATGTTTACTCTTGCCAAAACTCCTTACCCAGGTATTTTTTTTCATTATGTTTCTATGTTTGAAAATTTTGCAGTATTGACTGAGAAATTACATCGTCTATTAGATAGAAAAAGAGTTAATAGCAGAATTTTTCTCATGATTTGACAAAATCGTCAGCAAGTGATATTTCAGCAAACTTAACCCTTGGAGCTGTATCGTTTCTTTTTTGGCCAAATAGCCTGGCCTCAGGTTATCAAGAGGTATCCTCAATAATTTTATTGGGTTTGCTTGTGGAATAGAAAGATACACATTCAAGCACTCTGATGTATATTTCCTCTTCCAAATCTTATAAACAACACGATTCGCTGAACAAAAATTACCGAAATTAGCTCCCAAACCGACCGAAAGTGAATGTAACAAGGTGGTGAAATAGTGCTGGGTTCACACTATTTTGCAAAAAAAAACAAGGCCACAACAGTTTTGGTAGATATTTTAATCGAGCAGTTTTCTCACCCCATCTTGTGTTGTTCTAAGTTTCAACAAACAATAGCTGAGCTGAAGTGTTGAGATTGAGGTTACCATGTTTTCATTCTGCAGAGGCTGTTAGTTTAATATCTTGTGTTTGATTGAACTCGAGCAGTTAATGGTTTTTTTATGGTCAAAAAGTTTGACTCTATGCATCAAAAACGTTGATGCAACGTTAATTTCTCGGTTAAGAAAAATTCTCAATAAATTTCGTTGAACGAATCGTGTTCTACATGAAATTTTGATAAGAAAATGATTACCATAGTACTTAAATTCGCAGCTTGTCTTTTGGTACATACATACATGTGGTACATTGTGGTCCAATATAAAAAGCAAAATTTAGAGAAGCTTCCTTTCCCAAAAAAATAAGCATAAATATAATGAAAAATAATCATGAAGTGTGTACTTAGATCTTGAAGCATTCAAGAATTTTGTTTTTTCAAATGTTACCCAGAGATTTTTTGTTGTATTCAGAGTTTAGTTTTATTTTTTTTTTTATCTTCTTCTGCTAAACTTAGTTTTGTGTTTCAGGTGTAGATAGTGTAGATGTATTATTAAATAAATTGGAGGATGGTTACCGATTAGAACAACCTACCTATGCACCAAATGACATGTAAGTATCATAACTTTCTTTTCTCACTGAAACTAATTTTTCTTTTGATTCTTTTCTTGCGTCGGTTTGAATTCAGTTTAATCTAATTTTAGCCTCTCTGCATATCTGCAAGAGGAACAGACCGACAGGCTCCAGTTGGCCAGAAATTTCGCTAGAACTGCTGACCTTTTTGGTCAAGGAAATGTAGATTTGTCAAAGGTTAGGAGTTACGATTTAAGCCCCCTAGCTCGCTGCTGAACACCAAGCATTCCTCCAGCTCTGTTTAAGCTAGGTATTTGCAGTTTTAGCCGCTTTTTCATACCATTTCTACCGAGTAAACTCAAATTTAAATTTTTTAGTAAAATTGAATGAGTAGAGACCGAATAGTTCAAGATGATTTTTTTCTTTTTCCAGTTATTCATTAATGTTAGAATGTTGGGAGGCAAAACCATCATCTCGTCCTTCTTTTACTGCATTAGCAGAGAAGTTTGGAAACCTGTTAGAAGATAGAGTTCGATCTGTAAGTATGGATTTCTTATCAGCAAATATTTTTTCTCTGAATTTCACTACCTCATACTATTCTTGTTTATTTTCGGTCTAAATGAGTGCCCAGCAATTGTACACATGATAGATAACTTCAGACATTCTCGCAAAAACGGCAAATATATTTTTAAAGTATGAGGGTCATCCACAAAGTGAGGCTCCCTATTTTAAATATCCAAATGGAATGGAATGAAAGATAAATTAGATTGACAAAAAGATGTGTGTTAGGTAAGCTTTCAGCTTTACACTTAGCTTAATTTATTGTAAAATGGTCAAGCACTAAACTTACAAACAAACTCAGTATAATCGTAACAACTGCTTGTCGCCGTGTCCCTACCTCCCAGTGCATTCATAAATTGCACTAAGGTTTCCCGATTTTTTCATTTAATAAATTTCCAACTTCTTTGACAATTTTTTTACAAACCTTCTTGAACCATTCTTTAATAACTGTAATTACTGAATCAATTCTGAAATCTCATCCTCCTTGTTTTCAGCATTATACAAATTTGAATGAAATTTATCAAAGGATAAATAGTGAAGAAATCAGCAGCCATGGAGCAGACTATTTAGCAATGATGAGCTCGCCAAGCTATGTAAATACATGCCCTGAAAATGAAAACCCTGGAGGATACCTAAGCATGAGCGGGCCCAGCACTAGTCCAGATGAAAGGGACAGCAATGGTATCGAACTAAAACCAATGTTGCCCAGACAGCCACAGTCAGGTATGTCAATCTACATAGACATTTGAAGAGTAGTTATGTAAGGAATACTAATGTCACAGTAGCATTCAGAGATAGATGTTGAATAACTGAATTAGAGAAAAACCACCATTTCTTTCCCGCATAATACTGAGTATTAACTGCCTGCATACATTCGCAAAATTGTTCCTGTTGAGCCAGAGAAACTTGCAAATAAACTGAGGAATTTGAGTGCTACAAACCACGGTCTTTGGCAATTATCAGGATTGTAGTGATTTTCATCAATTACATATGAGACTAGTATTCTACGATTAGGTCCTTAGAGGACCTTCAGACAGAGTCTCTGTCTTACAACAGGGTGACGAAAATACCCCTTCTAAAGCGCTGGCTTTAGAAGGGGTCATAGTGACTGTTTTCACTTGGTGCAAACAGCAATAAATACGTTCACCATATTTGGCTTGACATTGAACATGTAAATTCGTCGAATCTTTTTAGTAAATCTTTCTCTGCTGGTCCATGTCATAAAAATGTAATTTTAATAGCTCACAGACAAGATAAGTCTCTCGATTTTGAGATCACTAGAGTGAGAGGGTGAGTAAAATGCTAGAAACTAGATATTTATATCCCATCTCTTTAACAGCTATGAAAAATCCAGTTGCCTTGTTCCAATTACTCAAAAAATCGTTTCATCGATATATATTCGTAACTGACAAGCATAAGTAGGCACGAAATTACTAGGCTCTTTCCTTCGCAAAAATTCAGTCAGGCTAATCTCCAGAAAACACACACTTTGATTCTTACACATTTACTAAGTTACAATGGAAATGGGCCTGTTGCAAACTTTTGCTAGAGCAAAAATAAGAGTTGTTTCTTGTAGATAATGCCTCAAAAATCACGATGAGCGCATCGGCAAAGTCTGAAATGCACTCATAACTTCACAATCTGCGTAAGAAATTTGCGTTTTTTTAAGCTTCCCGCTTCAAAAACGATACTACGGCATAGGTGAACATTTTGTTAGAGGAGTCGCTCCATCGTCGGCGATATTCATCATGGCCGACGCTTGCACGCAGTTCCGCGCGTAATTCAAGGAGAGTTCAAGGTCAATCAATTCGGGCGTAGAAAATATGAACGTTAACACACCGATTGTTATCTGGTCTAATCCAGTTCAGGTGTTATCTCGTCCCATCAAACGTGTTTTGGCGGATTGGCGTCGGCTATGATGATTATTGCCGACAATGGAACGACTCCTCTCACAAAATGTTCACCTGTGCCGTAGTATCGTTTTTGAAGCGGGAAGCTCAAAAAACTGCAAATTTCTTACGCAGATTGTGAAGTTATGAGTGCATTTCAGAGTTTGCCGATGCGCTCATCGTGATTTTTGAGGCATTATCTACAAGAAACAACTCTTAGTTTTGCTCTAGCAAAAGTTTGCAACAGGCCCATTGTTGCCATTATGGAGTAAAATAAAACAAAATGATATTCCAATGAAAATAATCAGTAGCTTTATTCAAGGGCAAGATGATTTTAGATTCCCAGATAACGTTCCAGCAGATAATTAGCCAAAGTGGATTGGCCTCCGGCCAACTTTAAGTTATGAGACAGAAATAGAACTGATTTTCTTTGTCAAAATATTTCAGCCAGTGATCTCATAACAAAGGGGGGTGCTTCCTGTGTTAATCTAGACCAGCAGCGTTATGTTAATTTAGTTGGTCAGGAAGTAAACAGTCTCCAAGGGGTGAGTTATGATGTCCGCTAGTCATGGATGCATCAAAGATAACAATGGGTGTTCTAACAAAGTGGCTAAACATGTTTCATCCACATTTCCTTCCCTCCTTGTCCGTCTCCTTAGTTTTCTAGTCCAAAAACTTAATCCTCAAGGTGAAATTAGAATAGCAGCTTGCTCAATTAGTTTTTTAAGGATAAATAGTTTTCGACCACGCAACCAGTCAGTCCTGGCCAGATTGTGGACCAGGACTGGTTTCTTTCTTCTTTTTATTCGAAAATTTTCTGCTACTGCAATCAACATTGTATATTTGTACAAAATTCGAATGACAGTGGCGTGGCGTCCACAGGTTCGCAGTGTTTGTCAAACACCCTAAAATATTTTGAAACAATTCATAAATTATGGCTAAGAATGTACAGAACAATACAGAACAGGGTTGCAATTTTGCATGAAAAATACTATCTTGAAATTTTAAGTGAAATTTTTCATGAAATTTCAGAAAAATATGAAAAATATGAAAAATATTGACAAATATTGACAAATATGAAAACTATGAAAAATATTGAAAAATATGGAAAATATTGAAAAATATGGAAAATATTGAAAAATATGAAAAATGTTGAAAATTATGAAAAATATTGAAAAATATTTGTCGAAATTACATGCAAAATTAATTGAAAGGCAACTGGTTTTTGCTTTTTGGTGTTTTTTAGTGCGTGCTGCAAACCCAGCCCCTGAAAGTACGTTTCTTTTACAACTTTAATTTCATGAAATATTTCTCGGAAATTTTCAATATTTCTTATTTTTTTTTCATTTCACCCATGTAACCCTGATACAGAAAAGTAGACCGCAAATAATTATCGGAAATCGGTCGCTTGGCTTTCGACAGCGGCGAAGAGGGGAAGAGGGAGAAAATCCCGCGTTTTGTCTCTGATCCCGCGACACAACGCGACGTCGGCACCGGCCCAGCTCCCGAACACCGAACCCGAACTCCCGACACGAGGTCCGCACTGGCTCCCGAACACCGAACCTGGATGAGAGGGAGAGGGGAATGAGCGGGGAGAGCAGCTGCCCGTCCCGCGTCACCAATGATCTGCGTTCGGTGTGGAGGGAGAACCTGGCTGGGTAGACGAGAGAGGAGAGGCGCCGGCGCACGGTGGATCGAGTCAATTCGGAAAGTCGGACAAAATTTTGAAACTTGGAAAGCTCATAACTCCGTTCATACAAATCGTTGAAGTTTTAAAAGTGGTTCCATTGGTTTCCTCGTGAAATTTACGTTTAAAGAGATCCATTCTCTAGTAGCAGTGGCTGTTGAGAAAACTTTGAAAAAACTCGTAAATTTTAAGAGAACCTAAAATTTACTTCAAGACCACTTGAAAATTGCGTAAAAAAACTCTTGAAATATTCGTACCAGGAAACCCCTTTTGGGGCTTTTTTTACATCAAAGCGAAGAAAAAATTTTAAGTAAATTTATTCTCGTAAATTTTAAGGAAAAGTTTGGTACGTTTTTTTTATATAAACTTCCTTCCTGCGAGCAAAAGCAGGGCCGGACTAAGGGGGTGGCCACATGGGCCGCGGCCCATGGCGGCAAATTTTGCAATTTTTTCAAATGTAGGTGTAGAAAAAATTGGGATTTAGAAAAAAAATTACACACGAGAAAAGGCGACAAAATCTCTAATTATCTGAGAGTAAAGTAATTTCTGCTTTTGTCGTCTTTCAGTGATACAAGAGACAGCACCTTTATTTAGTCGAGTTAAGAGAGAAACCAAACACGCAATTTGGCATTTGGACTTACCTAGAGGGAAATGATGACGAGGACTTGAGATGAAAAGGAGAAGACCTCGGCGCAGCAATCGGCATGTAACACATATTAGCGCCTACAAGACTGCACGAATACCTCACGCATTCCATCAAACACAGTGCGGTCATTGCGATCAGCGTGAGACGCATAGCGCCTACAAGACTGCGTGAATACTTCACGCATTGCGTCAAACTCAGTGCGGTCTGCGAAGCGCGGCGGCGGAAGTCAAAATCATTAATCCACATTTATGTTTGTTCTTTCATAATTTTTTCGTTCATTTCGTATGAGTGGAAGGCCTTGTCCACACAGAGATAGGTTTACGTAACTTAACTTTCGCGCAAAGTTCCGTGAACTTTTGCTAGTTGTGTTGACAGGGCTTTCCCAAAAAATGTGTTCAACACCAGTAGACGCGTTTTATGCGCCCCTCCCCCGCTGGCACGTTCATTTGATGGGTTTCATTGATGTTTCAATACGAATGAGAAGGGGGCGGCAAAATACCAGCGGCCCATGGGCGGCAAGTAGGTAAATCCGGCCCTGGGCAAAAGCGAGGAAAAAAGTGCTGAGCAGAAAAGTATAAAAAGAAAAGTTGCAGCCTATAAAAATTTATGATTAAGTTCATTTTTACATAAATTTTACGTTTTCTTTTAATTAAAATAACACTATTTTTTTATTTAACTGAATTCCCCAAACGGGTTTCTTAACGAGTTTCTTAAGAGTTTTTTTACTTAAAATTTTCGAACTCTTAAAATTTTCAAGTTTTTTACATTTTTTTGACAACTTCAGGTAGAATTTTTTTTAGGAGCCATTGCTACTAGGGTTAATATTTACAATTTCATTAAATAACATCTTTTGCAGTTTTAGTCATCAATATTATATCCGAGCATCCTGATTGACTCGATCCACTGTGCGGACCGCGCTCGCGGAGTGAACAAAGCAGAGAGAAGAGGGAGTGAGAGAAGAGCCGCTCGTTTTTTCCTATACCAGCAGTGGTGGTTCGCACGCAGCAGCTCGCCGAATTTCTTCTATATGCCAATTTGTCCTCCCCCCCCCCATCTCCCAGTTCCCCTCCCCAATGCCCACGTGCTCACTGCCCAGTTTCCCGCGTGTTCCTGAACAGTGAAGGTGCGTGTCGTGCGACTGGACGTGTTCGACTCTCCTTTCGAGAAGTTTGAATGAGTTTGAATCATGGTTTGTTGTTCCGTCGACGAAGTGCTCGAGCGTCCCTATTCCCGGAGGACTTTCGCCGAAAAAAAAGATCTTCTAGCTCGGGGCAGACCCGAGCCATTGTTGGTAAATTTGAAAAGCAAGTGCAAGGATCGCGGCAGAGAGTTCACCAGGAGCTTCTGCAAGAGCAATTATGTAGCTTATCCCTGGTTGACAGGATGTGAGATATACTGTAAACTCTACTGTTGGCCGTGTCTTATTTTTTCTGATGAGAAAAATATATGGTCTCATCATGGATTTTCCGATTTAAATCATCTTAGTGCCGCAGCTCTTCGTCATGAGCGCACGGCAAACCACACGGAATGTTTCATGAAAATGAAATTATTCGGTAAACAGCGCGGCGAGGTTTTACTGGACCCTGCTCAACGAAACGAACAAATTAGAAAGCACAATGAAAAAGTGAAAGAAAATCGCGAGATCCTCAAGAGGCTTATAGACGTTGTTTGTTTCCTTGCCAAGCAGGAATTGCCTTTCCGCGGTCACGATGAGTCTGAGGACTCGCTAAAGAAGAGTAATTACGTTGAGGTGCTCGAACTCCTTAGGACTTATGATCCACTATTGGACAATCACCTGAAAAATGCCACCGCTTTTTGTGGAACCTCGAGTGACATTCAAAATGATCTAGCTGATGCCGTGTGCGATGTTATCCTGGACGAAATAAAACGGCGTGTCGCTGAGGCGGATTTCGTCTCGATTGAGCTAGATGAGACATCCGACGTAAACGAAACGTCTCAGTTGTCTACCATATTTCGGTATGTCGATAGTGACGGTATCCCAACGGAAAGTTTCATTGGGTTTACAGACGCAAGCGCTGATAGAACGGCTGAAGGGATTTTCAATCACGTTACCAATATCATTGAGGAATATAACGCCGCGCTGAAGCTGATCGCACAAACATATGATGGTGCCTCTGTGATGAGTGGTCATTTGAGTGACTTACACACCAGAGTGAAAGAGGCGTATCCTAAGGCTCTATTTACGGATTCCCATGCGCATGTTTTAAACTTAGTTTTACAACAGTCTCTCTCAGAAATAATGCCAGAATGCAGCTTATTTTTTAAAACTTTAAGTGGTATTCCGAAATTCTTTTCCAAATCGTCAAAGAGGTCATTTGCCCTCCAGGATTTCATGAGCAGAAAACTACCCTCAATGGCATCTATTCAGTGGAATTTCATGCAAAGGCTTGGGAATACTATCCACCAGTTTCGCACTGAACTGTCAGAATTTTTTGAGAGCATCTTAGACGATTCTGATTCTTGGGACGCTAAAGCCATCCTAAAGGCAAGAGGGTTCGTCCACTTTCTAACCGAATTCAGAACAGTGTTTTTACTAGAAGTTTTTGCAAAGCTTTTTTCATACACCGATGTGTTGTATAATATACTTCAGACTGATACTGATGACATCGCTCACTGCCACAAACAAGTGAAGGACACTACCGATATTTTAAAACGTGATATAAATGAAGGCTTTGAGGAAATCTGGGCTGAAGCAATAGTAAAACATGGGGACTGTAAAAATCCTCATCTTCATAGCATAAAGAATGGTCTATCCGCTGAAGAGGACTATCGGCGTTTGTACAAAGGAATTCATGATACCGTCGTGGAACAAATTGATGTCAGGTACGGCTCTGTACTCAATTTGCAGTTTTGCCATCTTTTATCCCATCAAAAGTTTTTCACCTATAGGACTCGCTTTCCAACTGACGAACTAGATTCTTTGAAAGGCGCGTATGGTAACATGTTTGATCATGCAAAATTGAAGACGGAACTCACTGTTCTTTACAAGAGCGATGAATTTTTAGGATTACCCCCTCACAAACTGATCCAGTCTTTGAGAGAAAATGATTTAACACTCACTTTCAAAGAAGTAAATAGGTTAGCTGCATTCCTCTGCACTATACCTGCCACCACTGCACCAGTGGAAAGATCTTCTTCGGCGCTTAAACGGATACATGCATACTGCCGCTCAACCGAAACTCATAGCCGATCATCGAGCGTCAGTGTAATAGCAATCGAGAAAGGAATCCTTCAAGAGCTGAGAGCGAAATCAGATTTCTACGACACAGTTATCGAAAAATTTCTCCCTAGAACATGGAGCATTGAATTAAATTACATGTAATTTGTGGCAGTGTTATAAAGTGACTAGCTTTCACCGAAGACTCAAAACTGGGACAAGTCAAACCAATATCGTCTCTCATCTAAACTCTTAAATGAGGTGACCTTTCAGAAGAAAAGAAATGAATAAATCAAATATTAATTGAAAGTTAAAAAAGCTATTGAAAAAATTTATAGAACAAACAAAAATAAACAATAAACAAAAAGAAGGAAAAAAGAAAATTGCAGGAAAACGATCTGTAAAAAAACAAAAAATACAACGTTAATTTAACCAGAAGAGGTTAAAAAATTGTGACCTTGCAGCTTCATTTTTATGAAAATTTCCGGGGGAGGCCCGGAGGTTACAGCCCCCTCCCCCTCTCTCTTGGCTGGCACTCCTACCGAACACCTTCCCATCGGATATAGTCACGTCACGCCACTAATGACCTTGTTGCTAAACTGGCCCTGAAAATTTAAGAGGTATCATCAAAAATTGCGCAGACCTGGAACTAGGTATCTATACTCCTAGTTTTTCCATTAAATTCTACAATATCATTTTATAAATTTCAAGTTTTACCCAGAAGATCCAAGTTAAAACTCTTCTTGCAAGTTTTTTTGTAACAAGAGGCATAATCTAATTTAAAAATATAAAGAAGGTTTCTAGCTGGACCTGAATTTCGTGTTGTATTTGAGAGATGGACATTCTTCGCAAGAATACCTTTTAGTCTCAATTCCTCTTACTTTCTAAGTACTCCAGTACTTAAATCCTCATTACATCAATCCTGTGTGTACATGTTATTTGCTTTTTAGACGTTTTTGTGTAATACAATAACCCAATTTCTAATGTGTTCCGTAGTATTGGCTGTTCCTTCGAAATGTGACTCATTAAATCCTGAAGCAAGTTTCTTAGATGCATGCCATATTTTTTGTGCATGCAGTTGGATTCTTTTCCATAATATCCATACCTACTTATAACCTATCATTTACTGAAAGAATGAAATATTAGTATACTCCAAAGTGCAAAATTTTGGTTTTAATTAGCCACTCTTAATGAGACATAAAAAGTAGGTTTTTGAGTATTTGCATGCTCTCAGGGATTAACACTAAGAATGTAAGCAGCTTCAACTTCTGTATTTTATTTTTTGAGCTGCATGAAAGAAAGTGTCCTCGGAGATTCAACTTTAGTGGCATTTAATCTTTCTTGCCCCTCAAAATATAAGATTTAAAACTCTGAGCATGTTTTTTTTTTGCCTGCAAAATAAAATTTGACATCATAATGTATTACCAAAAAAAATTTCAAGATTAAACTTGCAAATTTCGGGAAAATTCAACCTCATCTGAATCATGAACACATGAAACTCATCAAGAAAGTTTATTAGGTACTTAATCCTTGGCGTTTGTATATCTCTGCTCGTACAAAAGGGAGCGAATCTTCTTTCAGACTAGGAGACGGCAATTCGACAGCGTAAGTCGGCAATCACATAGGTATCTCGGTTGCCGTGTCTTGGAGAACAAATTGACATCATTCCTTGAAGTTTTTGCAGAATTTTCTTCGCTCAGAGAAGGAAAATTACGGCAGTTTGAAAGAACTGCCAATGAGTAGTTTTCTGTTTAAAAAATAAAGTATGACAGGAAGTCTGCGACGTCGCAAACCGAGTTTTGTGATTGCCGACTTACGCCGTTGAATTACAGAAAATCCTTAGATATGTACAAAAGAACAACAACAACACTTTTTGAAGGGAAGGGAAAATGCGTTTTCACGCACTAGCATCCTTTCTTTTAGTTTTTTCTTTTTTTTTGAGCAGAAAAATAAAGAAAAAAGTGCAAGCTGGAATATCAAAGTTAAAAGTATACTCACTAATGCCTCGTAATTCTTAGCTGATAAAAGAAATATCTGATAAATTCCAGTAAAATCTACCTTCAACAAGTTTAAAGAGGCATACCTAAGTAGGTACCATCGCCAAAAAAATCTCTGTTTATTTTAAGAAATTTGATACAAGGTCGTAAGTACCTATGTACGTTTAATAATTACAATCTGAATATCATTTCTGTTCTTTTAGTGTTTGTGATTGTTTTTATGTTTCATTGAAAATTCAAATTTCCATTCAATATTGAGCCTATAGGTACCTATACGTTTCAGAAAAAGCAACAATTCTTTTTTGGCGTATCTAATCCCTTTCTTCCTTTTTTTGTTTCAGAAAACTATTATGTGAATCAACCCACAATGATTTCAGGGCATTTCAATCCATCATATTTGCTTCTACCGCAGTCCCCTCCACCAACGTATGTCAATACTTGATCGTTATTTCTTCGAAAGCCTTTTTTTTTACCAAACTCATCACGCTGTATCATCACTCCCAAGCTTTTATTGTAAAATTTGTGTTCATCTGTTCTTTATCTTGTTGAATTTTATATTTTAATAGTTTTTGTAGAATCGTTTTTCCTGTTTATTTAAAAGAACTTCAGAAAATTATTTCAAGTTCGCACTCCATCTCAGTAAGTTTTGTTCCTTTGTCAGTTAACTTCTGCTGGAAACTTTTTTTTTTTTCAACAAAATCTTTTTGCGTCTAAAAAGTAAAAGTAAATGTGAAAGTTGAACGAATAGTCAATGTCCTAATACAAGCAAATAAAAATTAATGATTGATCAATATTATTTTAAGACAAAGCGATTTCAGGACAAAAACAAAGTGAGTCTGTATCACAAAGACCACAACTACGAATCTTGATCCTAATGCACAGACCTTGGTAGGAAGTTTTACAAAAGTGCATATTGTGTAGAAACCAAGTAGGCTTTTTCCCCCTCTTTGAAATTTTATCCATCACGGATAAATGCTGTGATTTTGTTTGTTTGTTTATAGTTTTATTTGTTTAGTTTTAGGACTATGTAAGTATAAACATAGTGTAATGGTTCATGGTTCATGTTTTTCATGTTCATGTGTAATCATTCATGGAACTGCATTCTGCAGAGAGGGTTCTCCTCTTCCTGAAAGATAGTCACATACTTTGCCCAACCGGAATTCAACGATCCTGGAAAGAATCAATGATAGGAATCCAAAATGTATAATTTACCCATTAAAGAAGAGCAACAAAGCTACACTCAGCTATAACTTCATACTTATCCAGCTCAAAATTATCATTACGCTTCCCCCTCCTGTTTTATCAAATCTGATCTCAATAAGGGCCCTTTCGGGAAGTCTGAGGGTCTCAAAATTTGTTAAAACTACTGATGTCTAAGAAGTCGCGCAATCAAGGCAGCCTTGTCTTTCATGTTTTTTGGCCCTTTATTTTTTGACTCATGTTTGCTCATCAAATCCCTCTAAACCAGAATTAGATACATTTTCTGAATACTCTAAGGACTGATTTTGGAATGTTTTTCAATCAGAGTCAAAAGATGTAACTGCTTGTCAGTCTTTTTTGAGAAATTGAGGGAAAATTTTGTGTTTGTCACTGCCTGCAATTCAGTTTGCAAATTTTGGAACTTATTATTTTTTCATCAGATTTGGAAAAGCATACAAAAGTTTTTGCTCTTGTACTTATTTTATCAAGGATACCAAGACAGGATTTTAACTGTGTGATTTCAACTTTCAAAACCTTTTTTTTACTGCAGGTAAAGGTTGATGCTAGTTGTTAATTCTTTCCTGTTAAATGCCCAGATGGCCAGTGTTGTCGACCCTAAAAATCATTCTTGTCATTTTTTAGTATTCAATTTTAAGTACTCAAGTCCGTACCATGGAAGCAACTCATTGCATTACTACATGCTCCTTAATTTGCCTTTTTATTTGTACTATTACTAAGAATATTTTTAAAATGCTTTAGATTTTTCGAGGAAGATTTTTAGTCAACTAATTTAGCATAATTTCACCTGAAAATAAACCTTAAAGGTACCTAATAACGATCGTAATTCGTAATCAGATTTTTTCTGTTTTTTTAAGCACAAAGCGCTTAAAAAAACCCTGTAAATTAGAGTGCAGAAATATGTACAGATTTTGTCCCTATTCGTAGGAGCTGTTTATTGTGCCTATAATATTTTAATAATTCAGTATTTCTTGCTCTTACTTTTTTTCCATTCATCTACAAAAATATGCAAGACTATGCTGAATGAATGAATTAGCATTCATTAATTTTATACAAGGGGAAATGCAGTTTATGATTCCAGTTTCTTGCTTTCGTGAAAGAATCCTTGTCTTGCCATAAAAGGTTGAAGCAGTAAGCATGATGTTATAGCACTAGCCATATCCATATTGTTGGTCAGAATGCTGTAGAAAATGAAATTAGGTTATCATTTTGTAATCAAAGAAAAATCTCAACATGTGCCTCCATATTGTCTATGTTGCTACCAAAAATTCCTTATTTTTACTGAACAGTTGACAACCAGTAATAAGAATGAAATCTCTAGTTCATGTTTTGATACATAGTACCTAATTTCCATATTCATGTGGCTGAGTAAACTAAGAAACCTAAACATATTTTTCCACCTATGAGCCTCTTATTTTTGTACATTCGGCAAATTCTGCTGAAGACTCTTATTTTTCTAAAAATCACTCAGTACAAGTACTATTTATGAATTTGTAAAATTTACTCTGTTAAAATTATTGTTATATTATGAGATTTTTTACCTTGCCTTTCCTCAAATTGTAAATATTTTTTACATGTATTCAAAATATAGAGCTCTTTTGTATAAAACTGCTGAACTTTACTTCTGTATTTCTACGATTTATGCTATCTATACGCTATTGCGCTGTAATAGCATATAATTGAACATACCAAGTGGCTGTCCAAGTACTACCGACACAAACCATTTTGATCGAGTTTTTGACAGACCTCCCTCTTCCTTGTGAGCCGCCAATAAACAAATCTCTCATTCATTTTAAACTATGTAAGCCTAGCTTGAGCCCAAATTTTTCTAAACAATACAACAGAAGACTGAAAAATTGTTGGATTTTTTTAGGGGAGGGGGGGGGGTTATAATGTTTTTAGAGTGGGAGGCTTGCATAAGGCAGGGCCTGACCTTCCCCGTTTCCTGTTTGGAAGAGCCCCTCCCTCCCCCAAATGGCTTACGTAAGACTTGAATAAGACTTGAACAGCCCCTAAAAGCTATCACATGCGCATATGCAAGTCTATAATTTTTCCTTTATTACACCAAAAAAAGAGAGAGAGAAGAAAAGTACAATAATAAGGGTCCAAGCTTAAATTGTAAGAATTAGAAAAAATTCAGATTTAAAAAAAAAGTAGTTATTTATTTAGAAATGGAAACTGAATTTTTCTTGGCAAAAACTTCAACAGCAACAAATAAAGTTGTCAAGAAAACAACAAATCACAATTTTTACAAACAAGAGAAATGCAGAAAAAAATGCAGTGCAATAGCAACATGCTACTATAATATTAGAAAAAGTAAGACAATGATCTTATCTGATTAAGATGAATAGATTGATTTAGTGGCTACGTCATTCTTGCAATATTTGACTTGCTGATTTTCGATGACTTCAACCAAAGCAATATGTCATGGCTTTAAAGCCAAATTCTGCATAGTGTTTAATGAATTCATTCATTAATTATAATTTGGTTGCTAACAAATCGTGAGTACAAAAATGACTCATTAAACATGAGAAATTTGGATTGACTTAGACACACTATCACTCTGACATGGATACAAAGAGATTATGTGTCTGTTTACAATAAAACCATCGAACTGTGGTGTGCATATACTTAATGACTGACGCAGCTACTAAATCAGTCAATTTACAAGACAAGTTAAAATCTGCATAGTTCATTCCAATGTCTTAATACATTTCTTGAGTATTTTTTCTGTTTTCTAAAGCAGAGGCGACAAGATAATATGTATTTTAATTCATTCTTTCTGAAGATTGTTGTTCTTCCGAGAAAGAAATTCACCAAACTTAAAAATGTTGATGAAAATTACCAATGGCATAGCAGAGTATATACTTGAATGACTAATATTTGTATACTTATGATATTCCTTAAAATTAGGAGAGTATGGCCAAAAATGTAATTATTATGATAGGACACAGCAATATCACATTACATGACAGCCAACTTTGTTTTTTATTTTTAAATGCTTTTAAAAAACAATGATTGTAAATTCAATAAAACTTTTAAAAGATGCCCAGGTACAATGCTTTGAATGATGTCTTTTCCCAAAACAGGATGTTGAAATCAGACAAAATCACCCTTTTTTCAATGAATTTGCTGTTCACAGTTCAGAAAATTGAAATTTTTACAAGATGATCAGGGTTTTAATAGATTTCATAAAATTTAAACTTACTCTTGCTCGCCTCTGTAAAAAACAACATTTTTTGCAGTTTCAAACACTTTGACTTCATACAATAGAGATGGATCTTCCATAACCTTTTTTAAATTATTCCAGATGAAAATGCATACATTTTCCGTTGTACTGACTATATCCTTAAAATAGGGCACATCCTTGTCCAAACATTTATGGTCCATTGTTTCCATGATAGCTGTGTTTATATGCTTCTTGAGATCTGAGATATTCATCACCATTCCTGTATCGACGGTGACAGGGCCTCGTAGTGTTACCTCGACTGAAAGGCAAAAACAGGAATTCAATGAATTCGGAAGTCTACACTTGCACGGGGATTTGGGACTGCTGCACGGCCTACTGCAAAAAGGGGTACTCCAGAGAGGGCTTCATGAAGGGTTATTTTGTAGTACTAAAAAACTTACGTCATGACTCGAAAAGCTCAGGCAGCAAACTCCTTAAATCACCTGATAGATCTCTGGATTTTTCGATGACAAAAAAAGCTTTAAGTCGTGGTAAAAGAGGAGCTTTAGCGGTGGGTCATCTATTTTGATGGTGCCTGGCAACATCATCTAGAGCAATCTTATGTATTTAAAAAACGCAGTATTGAGATACTGTTGTCACTGTATGTGTACCTAGTGGGTTCAACAGCAACATTTGCCAGATTGGTACGGAAAATCATTCAAGAAATTAAGTTCAAAAATTAGAATATTAAAAGCAAACTTACTTGCATGTCAACAATTAAAATGATACAGTAGACAAGTTTTGGGTTCTGGCCTATATTTAGTTACATTGAGAACGGCCAAGATCTCAAAGACACGTATGTCAAAACATTTAAATTATTTGAATACAGGTAAGTTCATCTTAATTATTTTTATTTGCATGCAACAAAAAAATGTGGAAAACTGGTCTCCATTGACAGAATGCACACATTCTGTCGATGTAAACTTACATAATTAGTGCTCAGAGGTTCGCTCTTTAGTATCTCCTGGGGTAATTGGCGCAAGAAAAGTTATAACTGGCTATCGTTGAAAGCGAAAGGTCTTATTGAAAGTAAATCATGCCTGGAGTGTGTTTTCATGCCTTTTTTTTAAGAATTCAAGGGAAGGTTTTCACCCTACCGGATCCTGTGTCCATTAGACATTTTTGAAGAGGTACTTAATTTCCTTAAAAATCTCATTAAGAAGTGAAATTTCAACTTATGTGGGGTTACTTTGTTAAGTTATTATAAGCAAGTTCAATTTAAAACGTTAATTAACAATATTTAGTTATAACTAACAATTACATTCCAGTGGTAGGTAGTTAACTATTCAATAATCTCTGCAAATAAAAATGGGTGATTCACTCATTAAATCAGCACAAACCCTTTAATATAGAGGGTCTGTGCTGATATTTATGCAGAAAAACTCCAAACTTACCGATATAATTGTGTCCATGCCCGTGAAAATTATTGCAAGGCCCATAAACTTTGGCATTTTCAGCATCCGACAGTTGAGGACTGAAAACAAAAACCCAACATGAGATACAAATTCCTTATTAGCGGGAAGGGATTTAAAAATAAAAAGAAGGCATAAGTTCAAAATTGTCGCATTGATGAATATATCTCTTGTAGGGCTAGCAGCAAGAGTAAATATCTCTCTATGGATCTGATTTAGCGCTTAGATACCTTTTCTCATGATCATTTTTACAATGACATGTTGGCTTTGATTGAGACAAACTTTCATTTCTGAGAGCATTGAAAACCTGTAGTTTTTGTAAGCTATTTTTGCACTTCTGTAAGAGGGAAAGTGCACAAGTACAAGAATTGAGTGGCAGTCTACGTAAAACCGTCATGTTCATGCTAAGTAAGCATCAGAAGTATTCTAGTTAGTAAAGACAAGGACAATCGAAGGGCTTAGAGGACAAGGCGCATAAGGGTGGTTGTTGTTATTTTGAGAAATATGTGTTTGAAGTTTCAAAATTACATGGATCCATATGGCAGAGAAAAGTTCAAACTGACATTTTGAAGCTTAAAAATTGGGAGTGAATTTTTCACAGAATATGTATTAAGACTAGTTTTACTTAAAATCATTAATATCTAATTTTTTTTAGATAAAACTGCACTTATTCACCTTGTCCTTCAGGCTCTTCAAGAGTAGTGTCCATGGCAAAGGGTAGGGGGACGCTCAGTCTAATGAAAAGTTCTTCGTAGTGGAGTTACCGCAATTAGGCAATTTTTCAATGTGGCATACAGGTAATTAATCTTTATAATTAAAGAAGCTCATATTACACAAACAAAATGCTCCAATAACGATAAAGAAAACAACCATCCATGAAGTACATCCAGGACCTAAGAGGCTGTCCATAAGGAACGTAACGCTGAATTTCGAATTTTTAACCCCCAATGAGACTTTAAACCACCCCAGCAGGTTCAATATCTCAAAAGAAAAATTCCATGAAAAGATTACTCAGATTCTGATAAATAATTTAGCAATCGTCTTGGTTAAGTAGGTATTCATGACCATTAATATTGATTTGTAGATCGGATTGGTATTCCGTTAAGGAAATTTATGAAACATCTATATGACTGATTGAGGCACTCATGTAATACCTCCTCAAAAGTAGGGGAATCATACCTGAAAAAGCATTTAATTGAAGAAGATTTGACTAAAGAACCATCAATTACCTGTGTAGTCGATGAGCAGCACTGAAATGCTGAATCCTGGTTAAATAAGCGACAGGCCTTTTAGATGTCATTGTCAGAGGGAATCACAGATCTAGAAGCAGGAAAGATGAGGATTGAAATGACTGGAAGAAAGTGAGCAGAGCTCACATCAAAATGATTACCTAACAACTTGGAATCAGTTGCATAATCAAATGATGAAATTCAATACCTCTTTTGAGGTTGAATCAGTTACGGAGAATTGAACTCTCATAGCAGTTGTATAGACTTCATAGTAGGTATCCTTGGATAGAAACTTCATCAAGGGGGTGCCTGATTATCCGACTTCTCTTCTGAACTAGTAAAGCCTCATTACGTGGCTTATAAAGAGTACATAGACCTAAGATAAAGATGCTCTAACTAGATCAGCTAGCATTCAAACAGAGAGAGAGGATGATGTCAGTTACTTTTTAGGGTTCAATGTCACAAGAGCAGTTATATAATAGAGCAAATAATGTGCACAAGACAAACCAGACGAACAAAATTTGAATGGCACTACCCCGGTAATGATTCTGATGTCAATTGATGAATTTTTCACCAATGAAAGGTACCGATAGAATTTCATGGAACTGAGGAATAAGTAGTAGTTTTGACGATGAGAATTGAGAAATTTGCTCAGGCTCAGACTTTTCTGTCTGCTGAAATATCAGAACTCACGTATAGACTGTTATGTAAACAAATTCACCAATTGATAACAAAACAAGATGGTGATAACACTTTCAGTGATGCTGGTGCGACAATTTTAATTTTGACTACGTCAGAGTTGAGATCAACTATATTTTCAGATTTACATTCAGTAACGTTAATTTAAATGACCTTAAAACCGATTCTTTTAAAAGCATGTGTTAAAAGACAATTTAAATACATTTTTAGTGTGCGTATACTTACTATTCTTTCTTGTTTCTTGTTGATTCATCATCAAAACATCATGTCTCTGGAACAGTGTTACGTTTTATGTTCGGCATCATTGTCAGCGGGAAAATTCAAAACTTCGCCTATGGAGATGTTGCATGTGCATGCGTGAGGAATTTGCAATTTGACTCTTGATTCTTTTGTAAAAGTTTGCAAGAAACACGATGGTGCCACTGGTTTTCCCTCAAATCAACTCCCAAGCTCAAGAAAAGCTCTCAAGTTGAGGCTAGTTGAGGCCAAAACCTCTACATCAACAATCAAATGGACGTATTTCTGTTAGGCCTTGTCTCCACGGGGCGTTTTCATGGGATTTGTCCCGAGTTCGAATCGCAGGAATGAAACTTCTGGGATTTTCCCCACTCCCCAGTTACCGTCTCCACGGGACGAGGCTCAAACGGTCCTGCGACTAGTTTTGCGCGGGAAGATAAAGTCGAGTGTTTAACCGGGATTAAAATAATAATTGCATTCAATTGACAATTAGACACATTATTTTAACTAAACAAACATGAACAATGGAGTATTCAACAAAACATCGCACAACTCGTTTACACTTCTTCTCCCTCTCTCAGTGGGTCCTAGGAGTAAAAAGGACCATACTTGGTACTGGAACTTGGTACTTGGTGCCCCATAGGCACAATAGATCAATTTGAAAGAGATTGTTTTGGCATTAGAGGCGCACTCTTGTGTTACCCGCAACCACGAGTCAAGATCGCAATTTTTGTTCTTCCGTTTCTGTCATTTTGTGCATTTTTACGTTCAATATATATTGACATTCATCGACACCCATCTTGTGGTTGGACCTTTTTTCCTTTTTTTGTTTTGTTTCGGGACACTAGCTCATCATGGGCGTAGCTAGGGGGGTCCTGGGGGGCC